GGTATCCAGTACATCCGTACGCAAATCTATTGGAAAGATTTGCATAAATTTAAAAACCCCGAAGAGGAAACCCGCATGATGAATGTCTTTTGCTCAAAATCTATATATCAGGCTGAGTTGTGCACCTAAGGTAGTCACATTCTTTACTAATGCAAGGCTCTGTGCGGTTGTTTTCATCAACCTACTGGAACACCTACAAAGAACAAAACGGATAGTACGCAAATGATCCGTTTACTATGCTGACAAAATTTTATGAAATGTTTTATATGCTCAGATTACGAAAGTGTTTGATTTACTGGGCTGGGTGTCAGTTTGACCTTTCTAAACTCTAAAGAAGGTGAAACAGCCGAAACGCCACCCATTATTGTTTATGTCATGCTACTGACAACCTCGTGTTCGCTCAAAAATAAAGCGCTAACTAACTATCGTAGGCTAACACTTTCTTGTTTGTTTCAATTTCAACACCTGCTAGCAAAACATAGTGCCTTTGAAGTTCTACCCAATGTCCTTTTCGACACATTTATACTATGATACCAGTTTGGCAGTCTAATTTTTCTATGGATAACCGTCGATTCGCTTCTTCATACTTGGAGGAATATTGACTAAATTTCGCAACTTTTCCTTTTGGACTTGCAATGAACGGGACCATTGCTTGAAAAAAAGGAGTGGTCGGTGCCTAGAAATAGTAAAAAAAATAAACTGTAAAGGTTCATCTGCTTTTCCAAAAGAATGAAACCCAGCTTCAAAGGAAGTCTCGGCAATCACCTTCGTTTGTCGCTGATTTGTTTTTCAAAGCAGAATTCGCATGTTGTACGAGGAGAGATTTTTATGCTTTCAATGCTTATCACAGATCCAACCGTCAACAGAGTTCATAATTTCCACAATGGACGAAGAATAGGCGCCACTTTTACCTTCATTTATCTATACGGTTTTCCAGTGGCTTTGGAATAGTTGGTCTAGAGCGTACCCAGTCATTACTACACCGTTCTCATAAATAAGAGCAATTTTGCCTCAATGCCACTGAGAGTTATCTTGTAACTTATGAATAGCTCAACCATGTTCAAATATAATGTTATTTTCTATTTGCTGCCCACTGCAATTTTTTCACGGCAGAGTATTATGTGGAATGCAACGACAATGATACTGAGATATTTACAAAAGTTCTGACCGAAGATGTCTGCGGTGAGGATCGAATACGCCATTACCTTTTCAGGGGGTTAATGCGTTCACCACTACACCCTGCGGGTCCTTCGTTTTACATTTCTCTCAGCAGGTTGTAATTTGTAGTAGGTAGTAATAAAAAATTAACACTGTGATCACGATTATTACAAAACCTAAGTTTAGCCGCGTTCAATGCCGATTTGTGCTCCACCAAGTCAATCCCATTGACGAGTGATTGGTAATGACACTGCTAGATAGAAAACTAGTTGATCGAAAGGCGAAACGAAAGACGCGCATGGTGTGATAGTGAATGCGTTAGTCACCGGAAGAGGTTATGGCATGTTCGATCCCCACTGAAGAAATCTAATGTTCAAATACAGTCTACTCTCAAATGAAGGACTGACATCAAATATTTCCTCATCCTCGATGACGATAAGCCAAAAGGGTGTGAATGCCAGTTGTACACCACATTGCGATGTAATATACCATCTCAACGCTATATTGCCGTCTGATTAGGTGATCCTAACTGAAAGGAGAATGTGACAAAAACGAAGCAATGACGAGTGCAAAAGTGATGAGTTACACAGTTGTTTAGAAGCAAGGATTACTCGTGTTGTACACAGAACTAGAATACACAGTGGTGCAACCGCAAATGTTCTATGAATAAGTAAACACTGAATATGTTCTGCTGCTATCTTTCGCTTATTTCCAGAAGATTGATCTTCCTGTGAACATACCAACATCGCTACTAGACGGTGCCGTTGGGCATCAGTGATGACGTTCTAGCCAAACTATTGCTTCAGTTCCTATCCAGAAGTGGACCTTTCCTAATACGAGACAAAATATCGCTTCGAAGGTGATATCGATTTTCGTACGTTCTTCAGCACTCATTTTAGCCATATGTTCTATAGAATGAAGCGTGCTGTGGAAATTTAAATAGGACATATCTCACCTCGTTGGCGTTCTTCAACATTCATTGTCTTCCGCTATTTCTCAACCCTGTTCTGACCAATTGTTCTACTCTCATAATTTTTTCTATTTGAAATTATACATTAAAAAGAGAGCGAAACCTAGAAATTATTTTTTTGCTATACATCAAACTGATGTGAACCAAATTGCCGAACTTGCTGCTTTGCAATGGAAAAAAATCAAACAGCGAATCACTCGTGAATACATAGAAGAACCTATTTGGTAACAATTTATTCTTGTTCAACGATTTGACGTTTACAAAGGCTCTCGGTACAGGCTTATTTATTTCAGCAGTTACATGTTACCAAAGCATAATCCTATATTCGATCCAAGAATTTTGTTGTGATGTCGGTCTCTACTTTCGAAGTACTCTTTTCATAACGCGAACTAATCTCGTGAATGGTAAGAAAGGTGCTCACAATCTCTTACACTATAGATTATCAATAATCTTGTCAATCATAGAATGGACTTGAGCAGACACCATCACCTCCATGGACCTAAACGATCCAGATGTTTGCTGAGAGGCAAAAATCACGCTTATAGAATGAGACTCTTAACGAACATCGTGCGCCTGCTAGTAAACACTTTGCAGTCTTTCTTCATCAAGGAATATTCAATCTTGAACTTTCTCAGTGAATGAATTTAATCATTAGATGTAACAGCTGCACTGCCAATAGTCTTCTAATTGTAGTTTCTTCTTCATAACACGAGCAGCACGGAGATACCGTAAGTACCCAAGCAGTGGTATTGATGGTCAGAACTATACTAATACCCTATGGTTATCAACAACTAATTATTCTGTGCTGCACATAAAATCCACACTTAAATTACATCGAACTGAGCTACACGACTACTTCACTTTGGAGTATCGAGTACCACTAGATGTTAACGAGTTGTTGATGGCTGAAAGGAGGAAATATTACTAGATTCTCTACAACGGGTACTGAACAGATGTCTGAAAACACCCATTTCTACGGACATCATCGAAAACTGTAACATGTTGCCGACTTTAGTGCTCGGTCATTCCTCAAGTAATAGAATTTACAAGGACTTACTAAACATTCCTGTAATTTATATCGTCATCAAATCCAAATCTTTTTATTGACCACAAAATATAAAATTCGTACACAACAGATGTGCCAAGAAGACATGTACACTATTGCAAAAAAAAACTTTTTACAAAATATCTTTAGTATCAGTGAAAAAAGCAGACAGTAGCACGACCTGAAGTAAACTACCATACATAATTCGTATGACGAAGGAGCGAAATCATAGTGAAAATGGGCTATGCTTCGCAGTAAAACAACAAACCCAGCATGACTGAACAATATGACTTTTGCGCGCACTTTTTCCGATGATTAGCCAAGCCCCTTAAATACTCAAAGCCGTAATTTAATAAGCAAATAGATATAACACAAAACACGTCAACATAATGAAGTTGGGAGATGGAGAGGTGGCTCGAAAAGAATGAAAATGCGAAGGAAGAGGGAACGCGGTTGAGTCCTAGGGATTGAAGAGAGCCACCATCTACAACCAGATCCCCGTGATACATGTGCGATGGTTGGGAACCACCTAATCACCTGTCTACTAACGGAGAGTAATCAACCCTGAACATGATAAAGAAGACGTACATACCACAGGAGCAATGATAAATACACGTAGAGATAAATGTGTGTATATTAGTTGACAGGTGGTTTATGTTTTCATCGGGCCATCCGCGTGAGACACATCTCTTTCACACATAACAGAAATACACGCTAGACAACTAAAGACATTTACTACCCTTAGCTAGAGTGAAAGGAGGTGTGGAGAGCTAAAGAGCGCTCAGGCAGAAAAACGAATAATGTAGTGATAACGATATTAGCGATAGTGTAATGAATTTGATGTGAGACTGAGGATGAACGATAACAGAGACCGTGCGCACTAGACCCGACACTACCTTCAGGCCGGGACAGAAAGAACACACATTCCAGAGCACAAGCACGCCGTACACTGAGAATCCACTTTTGGCAATAGGAGAGAACAAACATCGTCACTTAAGGCTCAGCTCGAGGGTATTTACGAAAATAATGTTACATTAACGTTGCTGTTTGCTAGCATACTATATATATGTATACATATGTATATATATGTATATAGACATATACATATATATACGTATATATGCATATATATGCCCATATATATAGTATATACGTATATTATATAAAACAAATGACAAAATGAAAAAGTGACAAGGAGGTGTTATTATCGGCCATGCTTATAGATTAGAATAAATGACCCATAAAAGAGAGATGGAGCGAGGGCAAAAGTGGTGCAAACTGGGAGGAAGAGGTCGGTACGGGCACCATTGGTCCGTTGGCGACAACAATAACGAGGAAGACAGAAGCCTTAAACTAAGCAGATTTCGTATGTTAAAAATGAACCAGTCAATAGCCCTAGTGAACGGAGCGACAGAAACACGCTCAGAAAAAAGATCTGTACAGCACAGCACAATGCACTGACCGAAGACGATAAAGGCGACAAGAAATAAGGAAATCATGTTTAGACATCTACAATCACATTTTGAATAATATGACGTTCTAATTGGAACCTCGGATAGTCACAAGCAAAAACAACAAACATTTTAACGATAATAACGAGACACAAACAGAGCACATTGTTGTGGAATCTTATTCTGGACGCGTATTAGCATATGGGGTTGAGATTTAGGAAAGGCGTAACGCGGCCCGTTTTTAGGAAGATAGTTTGCGAGGATCTCTGAGCTTAAAAAGATGTGAACCGTTAGTTTTAGGATAGACGAGATACCGGACTCAATATGAGAACACGGTGCTGTTGCATTTGCTGCATATAAGCGAACAGTCATGGTTCTACTCGAGGAATGAGTAGTGATAGGCGTCCGAACCAAGACCTTCAACAGGAGCACTACCGCTAGGCATACCAGCATCAGCTAGGCCACGTTGAATCTTCTTGGATAACTCTGCCACCTCGATTTTCACTGTTGTCACCTCGATAATTAGGCGATTGTACTCTACCTAAAAACATGTGAAAATAGACAGAAACTAAGTTCATTCAGATAAAAGGTGTTCTCGTACAACTACTGATGATATGTTCAATAACGCGATTTGTAATCCTATATGTGTGGACTCTATTTCAAAGAATTTTAACCCATGCAAAAAAAAACCACTAGCAAACACATTATCCATGACAACATCTAATTCATTAGACAATCAAGTAGTAGGTTGTCAAAAAGGCGCGTGTACAGCAGTAGTTACAGGCACTCTGCAATACACAAGGGATCGACCCTGCGCCTTAGGTTCACCAAGCCATGCATCTCTGCGGGGTCGGCAAATTGGGCCAGACTTGTCGGGGAGGATAGCAACACTAACTCAATACATCGGTAGGCCATCGCTAGTCATTTTGTAGACCAGATATGCATTCATTCACCTCTAACGATGCTTAATGGAGTCGAATGCATGGCGCATCTCTCAGGGATTGATCAATGCTAAAAATCTGACCCTTTACAATGTCTTCAAACGTGTCCACGATATCAAAACTTGCCACATTTAAGATGAATTTTGTCGTAGCGGTGTGATGTCATATCCTCATGTTTACGATTGCATTTTTCCAATCTCGATTCCCAGCAACTGCATGCCTTTTTGTTTTTTTTTGGTGTTGCTTAATTCACACCGGGCAGTTTAGTGGACAGTTCCCGTAATTAAATCTATATACCAATCTCAAGTCTGGTGTTCTTGCGAATTTCTAATTTCACGCGACTCTGAGGCCACATCTCAATGGAACTGATCACAGGAGTGAAATTTGCCGTTTCTCTTCTTAATACAATAACGCAAGAATTACAATAAGTCGCAATGTCAACGTTGGCATTGTTCATAGCAACAATTCGAAATCCAACCTTTTGAACATCATTCATCCATCTCTGTGGACTATTCCCATCAACTTCACCATCCGGTCGAACGCTATCGACCTTAATCAAATCCAACTTTGGAACAGGTTAAATACTATACACTAACCGCTGCAATGACATATTTGTCATGAACTTACAAGCAACTTAAGCTCGGCCTCGCAGCATTCAAGAGCTGGTATCAGAGCAAGCATTTGATTCATGTGTTGTAGCACATGAGGTGGCAAGTTCGTTTGTTGCAGCACAGACATATCGAGGTATCCCTGGACAAACATGAGCAACATTAAAAATGACGTCAAAAACAAAGTAATAGGTGTCATACCTTGTCAACCGCATACTTTAGCTGATCAGCAACCGCTTGAGTGTGCGGTTGGGAGGGGCCAGGAGGCATTGGAGCAGTGACCGCGTTAGGCTGCCCCCATGCAGGAGCCTCGGGAGCAAATGGCTGAGGTTGCTGTTGAGAGGGCAGGAACCATGGCGAGTCAGTAGAGTGTTGTGAATGCGATGGAAGGTCGCCCCACTTTCCTGATCCGGGTTGAACGTCATCTGGAATAACAGTTCTGTAAGTAATACATTATCAAGTTAGTTACGAAAGCTATACAGAAATTCTTGCCATGCTTTATTGGATTATTGGGATCGTTCTCTGGCAGCTCACCCCACCCAGTAACGACAATAGGACGTTTAGGTGGGACTGGAAATGGCAATCGAGCGGATCCATCTTCATTCTGAAAATGGTCCAATGAAAATAAAAGAAATAATCAAAAACGGCAAAAGGGACCAAGCAGGCGGAAACTGCATCTATAAATGACGATGCACTGGGTAAGCGTTTGAGACTAACACTTCCATCCACCTTCTTCTGAGGAACGGGGCATTTCATCAATGCCACCTCCAAGTCTTCCTCTTCTCCTTCACCGATCATCCACAAACGCACAGGACGCTCATCTTCAACAAAAACGTTGTTTTGAAACGTTAACGTAACAAGAAATGTCATCAATAACATACTATTCTTTTCCGGATCACCCCATAACGAGACACCAGTGTCTCGTTGCCATTTCTTCAAATCACCATTTGGATCATGCCACATCAAGTCATCCACACCACCAATTGGGAACTGATTGGGTGCTGCTTGTGGTTTTCCCGACATTATCAGAGGAGCTGCCATCTAAAAAAATGAACTGATTATAATCGCAGCTGGTATCCCACTTCCCGATGGACGACAACACAATAAAAATATAAGATACAAAGCGCTGAATACGAACGAGCCCAACTCTTTGCGAACTCACTTGACCGAAGGCTGCTGGTCCTCGTATACCATTTGGAGCAACACTAATTTCAGGTTTCCATGCGCCAGCAGCGTTGGGTGGGGCCATTTGCCGCATACCAGACATACCACTCAGCTAAAATCCACAAATATCGACCTTTACAAACGAGATAGCGTAATAACTGACAGGCAAATCGATCGGAGGAGGTACGCTCATATCCATGCCACCGGGTGGGTACCGTCCTCCAGTTGGCCCACCACGTCCCATTCCACCTCGTGGTATTCCTGTTATGCGTTGCTGATCCCACGGCATTGCTTGCTTACCTACAGGTGGTCCACCCATCATACCGCCATTCGGCGCCCAAACTGAAAATGAGAAATGCAAAAAGGGAAAGTTATTATATCAGGAACAGAGGCCAACGAGTCACGTGCAAGACTATGTAAACTCATACCCTGCTATTAAAGACAATAATAGGCAACAAATAAAAAATTAGCACTATGCAAATCCTTTCAAGGCCTAACACACCTTGTGGGGGTCGTTGCACAAACATTCGGGGCGGTTGCCCTTGCCCACCATGTTGTGGCGGTGGCGCATTTGGGTGAATCTGACGGGGTGGCCAGGCACCCATGCCACTTGGAGGCCCACCCCAACCTCCAGCCTAAAGTGATGACATTTTAAGATCATGTTAAAAACGCTGAAAAATAATACTACTCTTTGTAAATTACTTGTTGCTGATGTTTCCAGTAGCCATCATGCTCTTGCTTTTGTAAATCGCTCCACAATGGCATCTGGTTTAGACCTGGTGTTGCACCAATCCAGTCGTTTCCTCCTTGTGGATCCATCATCCCATTCATTCCCCCTTAATTACGTGATTTATTAGTGATCACAAAGATCAGCTGTGCACATGAGGTGCAAGCAAAGCATTACACAGGCGTCTTAGTTACGGGGATGTATTAAATGCATGGAAGCCTGCTTGTAATAATGTCATCGCCATAAGTACAGGTTTTTATTTCAACAAAACTTCAAGCAAATAACGACAATGATATTGCGGCATATCGTATTGTTCGTCCAAACAGAACAGCTCCGTCATAAATGGTCGAATTTTAGCGACAAACGGACTAATGCGATCAAAGTTTGTTCTCGTGAGACCTAGTAACTGAGTGCACTCGGAAGCTCACATTTTTGTTACTCTAGGCATAAATACTGCCAATAGGTCACTCACAATGCCATGCATACTTTAAGGGTGCCAGAGCGTTACTTACGATGATGTCCGTGCATAGGGTTAAATTGCTGTTGCTGTTGATCTAAGTGAGGGTCGGACCAGATTTTCGCGGCCTCACCAAAGTCGCCTGGTGCTGCTCCCATTGGCGCACCCCAACTTGCTTGACCGCCAGGAGCAGCGCCGATTCCCAGAGCATCATTTACGCCTTGCGCTAAAACAAGGTGAGATTGAAAGTGAAAAAGGTAGAGATAGAATGTTTAAAGGAAAAAAAAGCTTTAAAAGCTAAAACTTTAGACTCTAGAATGATTTTTAAACAAAAATCGATGGTTTTTAAACAAAAGTCCACAAAACACTGAAGTAAGGATTAAGTGAGCTATACTGAAATTCGAAATCACAAGTATAGAATTCTAGGGCGAAAAGATTAGAACAACTAGGCGATAAAGAAATCAACCAAAACCGAAAAACTCTACGTCGTGCACAATAAAAAAGACGCTTAAGAACATTGAGCTGACCCCAAATTAACAGGAAGGCGACACGAAAAAAATTTTATTCTATTAAACAGAGTAAAATAGCCGATTTCCTTTAGCGATTTTTGTCAACATTTAAGCTCAAAACATTAGGTTTCAAATTTTGTTTGCCACCTATACTTTTTCACGTCATGGTACGATATTAAACGCAACCACAAGGATAACTATATATGGCTAATACCTAGGACCCACATGCCCGTTGACGTGTGATCGCCAATAGTTCCGTTACAGTAAAAAACTGGCTGACTAAAAGATAAATCATGGCCCTCGGTTAGTATCAACTATCGCCCCGTTGAGATATTTGCAAAACTCCGGACCGCAGGTGTATGCCGTGGGGAACGAACACGCGCTGTTGTCCTTGCCGGGGAGCAGCGCACTTCACCACCACATCATCCGGGTCCTTCGTTTTGCCTGTCTCTCAGCTAGTTCTATCGATCTTTTACCATCAGCAATCACCCGTCAATGCCAGTTGAAATTGTGATTATAACTGCGGCCTCAGCTTAACTGGGTTCGTTGCCGATTTAGGACCCCCATATCAATTATGTTGACGGGTGATTGCTGATGGCAAAAGATCGATAGAACTAGCTGAGAAACAGGCAAAACGAAGGACCCGGATGATGTGGTGGTGAAGTGTGCTGCTCCACGGTAAGGACAATAGCGCGTGTTCGTTCCCCACCGCATACACCTGCGGTCCGGAGTTTTGCAAATATCTCAGCATCGTTGAAGTTATATTTCACAAGAATACTCTGCTGTCAAAAAGAGTAGGCAGTAAATAATAATTTGAAATTGTGATTATCGCCCCGTTGTTGGACGAATGACTCGAGGTGGCGCAAGTAAAAATCCATTTTCCCTGTCACGTGCAAGAGTAACCCAGTGTGTTCTGCTGGCTATAGCGACTCGACCACCAGACCTTTCTTATAGGCCTTTCGTGCAGAACTCTGACCAGTGGTCTTTGCGCAGTGCGTGTAACAACGCGAAGAATCCAGTCATTTCCATAAGCATTATTGTCCTGCTAAACCTATCATCGATTGTTTGGCGTACAGAACGGCATCTTTGATTTTTGATCGTTAACGCAGGTTTGAGCCTCAGATCCCTTCCCTTACTTGTGTGAAACCGGATCCTCCTAGCACCGTTATTTCGACTGCGCGTTCAATGACGCTGAGTGATCTTTCATCCAACTTACGCAGCGACCACGCTCTAGACGCATACGTTAGGGTAGGAAGTATCGCGGAGTCGAAAAGGTGGGCACGGAGTCGAGTGCTTTTGTTCTCTTCATTATATCCTCGATGCTGTTGAAAGCTCCCCAAGCAGCTCAGTTCCTTCCGCTCAACACCGGAACTAAGTTGTTCACCATGTTGATTTCCCGATCTAGAAAGACGTAAATGAATCATTTGCAGATATTTATTTCGATCAGAACGAACGGCGCATACGAAACCAATCTGCTCCTCACGAACACTGTTTTTTGTGAGATTTAGCCGAAGATCAATTTTTCACAGGCTTTATCAAAGTCGGTAAGCATTCGTTCTGCTTGGCAAATGTTTGCTGTTATGAGAACGACGTCATCAGCGAAGCGAAGATGGTGTAACTGCCGATCGTCGATTTTCACTCTCAAAATAATTTTGACAAAATGATATCACGATTGCCTAACTCCTCTTTTAATGTTGATGTTTATACCGTTGTAGAATGGTGATATCTTAGTCGTGAAATTTTTACACAGCTGAGCTGACGAAGAATCTCTATGTACTGAGCAGGGACACCCTGACTGTCCCGGGCTTCTACAACAACTTCTCTCTCAACTGAGTCAAAAACCTTAAACCGATGAAAGTGAGACAGAGTGGTCTCTTCTAGTTCGCGTTCGCGGTTGCCTGCAGCTCGTGTGATCCCACACCGGCGTATCAGCTCAAGTGTTTCCGGAGACAGACGTCTCTTGGTGACTTTCGAACTCTCAGCCTTCATAGCGTTATCGTGGAAATTTTGAAGGAGCCATCTTATTCCTCGTCGATGTTATACAGAACGACATCTTCCCAACAGCCGCATAATGAATTGAATAACTCCTAGTCGATGATGGTTTTGGGATTTCGCTTTTTAAATGCAACGGCTTCTTCTTTCCGCAAGAAATTAAATCTTGGTACCTTGAAAAATAGTACCTTGCATGAAGGAGGCGCTGGTCTGATCACGTGTAAAATTTTGGGACAACAGCGACATTAGTTAGGTGAAACGTTCAATTTAATATGATTTGGTCTATTTCGTTGTGGTGCACTCCATTGGGAGATTCCAACGTCCAGCGCTGAGAGTGGGTCTTCTGGAATTGCGAGTTACCATGGTCGCCATGATAAACTCAGAGAGCCGCTCACACTGTTTGTTCCATTCTAATCCGTGGGTCCCAATGTAACACTCTTCAGTCGTTCTTCTTGGTCTAATCATAGCGTTGAAACCTCCGATGATGACCTTGAAAAATGTATGGTCTTCTCTGTAGAACTTCTCCAAGTTCACATAGAACGCTCCGACTTCTTCGTAAAAGTTTGATGTCGACGCGTAAACGACGAGGATTGTAAGATCGTAAAGCCGGTGTTGATTCACATCTCTTCAATCGTAAAAGTCCTATTCGGGTTATGTCCATTGCCAAACTTGTGTTGACGAGAATGTAGACGCATCGTCTCCTTTACTGTCGTATATTCCGAGGAACAGTTCTTCTGCGGTGTCATAGACGGCGTTGAACCTTAACATTCCTGCTTGCATAATTAAGTCTTTTATCAAGGACTCAGATGCAAGTGTGCAAGTGTGCACGCATTGTGGATACAGATAGTCACCTCGGTCCTTTGCGATTTAGGCAGGTTAGAATGGTCCTGGGAATTCATTAGCCTCTCCCTACTCTTCCTACGCCACGTTGCCGAATCGGAGGCTCCTTCGGAGTAAGGAGAATGAGGCCCGTTTATTTTACGATGTTTAGCATTTGATACCCACGTATAGCTTGCTGACTTCTGAACTTGGGGGCTGGGTATACTAATGGTTAGCTTACCAGTCTCTCCCAGAATAGGCTTAGCACTTAATTGTTGGAAACGACTCCTAACCGCCTCCTACATACTTGACTGCCACTTGATTCCACGCCTTTCCTCGAATTGACACACAGAATACAATCCGCATAAACTAAAATGCACCCATACACCGCATGCATAAATACGCCTCGAAATACAGAGTATGTGAAATCGGCGTAGCAGAAACAGGGAGTCATCCCTTGGAATCCACCTGCGCCTCAGTGAAGCAAAGGCCGCCTTTCGTTCACGATTAATCCCCATCCCTGGGAACGGGCGACGAAGCCTCGCTAATAACCGGCTCGATATGCCTCATATGAGGGGATTCTCGATTAGTATAGATAATACGTGATCCACCGGAAAGGGTAATCGCAAGTTCGAGGCTCACCTAAACTTACAGTTTTGCCCATATCTTAGCATGATTATGGTTGCATTTCAAGGCCTTGGTTTACCAGTAAGACCTTGAACAGTGTTTTTATTCCAAAGTAATGTTACAGCAGTAACTTCACCAGAGTAGGAAATATCTACCAATCAAAAATGCAAAATACTTCTAATTAAACATTAAAACGTGGTAGATACCATGATCACGGAGGAGTAAAAGATTCATGCGGCGACAGTAATTCTATTATTATTCTTTCAGTAAAAGAAAGAGTCCAACTTTTCCGATTACCCAAATTTCTAGCCAATTCCACTTTTGAATTATACATCTATCTGGTTGCTTTTTCCTTCCCATTCTATAATTTTTGAGGTGTTGAGCAATTTTATGCAATATTCTCCTTATTAATACTAATATGAAACACAAAACTGTGGAGAATTTTTTCTATTATCATTAGAAAGACGCTTATCAATACCGAGAGCGTTCGGATCTTGCCATGGATTTCGCATTTGTTGTGGTGACATGTGACCCCATCCAGCCTGACCGCCCGATGCTCCTCCGCCAGGCATGCCAGAAGCCCACGCCTAAAAACATTACTGCGTGGTGAAATATGGACTTCAACGAGATACACGAAAAAAAAACATTAGGACGTAGAAATGTGTCAAACTCTCACGCACGCCAAAGCAGCATACGTGATAAATTTCCAGTGATTCTTATGAATAACTTAAATGTTGGCACAACAATATTTGTCTCAACGAAAATAGTACTTTACGAAGAGAAGCACATCGTTATCGACCGCGCGTATGAGACCAAACAAAAAGAAAGGATGGAGGTTCAAGAAGATCGAAAACAAGTTGACAACTTTCTTAACGGCACACACGTAGTGTTGGCAACAGCCCAAGCACATGACGCCATTGTTGTCTGTGGCAAAATAGAACTGGACAGTAATGTATCAGTTGTTTACGATTCCTTAGCTTGAAAATTGTTCAGACAACAAACGATTTAAGAAATTCGAAAATGAAACGGCACTTAGACGTCCATACACTGAATTCATATTTAGTACTGTGGGTTCATTTAACACAATATACAGCATGAATGCGTTTCCGATCATTTTTCTGAATTCCTTAGAACTTTGTCAGCTTACTTGAATACAATCCTACTGCATCACGTAATCATTTTAGTTATCTGCAACATTCGCTCATCATGTGCGCAATGGGTAATGGCGCTTTTTTGGAACCAATGGCTGCAAAGCCAATGAGCAGCACATTATTATTTCAAGTTGCGTTTGACGGCCAGAGATCTTGCTGTGCAGGTGATTCCTGAGAACTAGGAATAATTCACAGTATGAACAAGTCTAGGTTGAAAAATGGCCACCGGTTAGAACCTTTCAGCTAAGTTCGAAAACAACCTAAAAAAAATTTCCAATCTAACCCATAATCTAAAAAAAATCATATTCACATCATGTGAGTAAGTACTGTCACTCAAAATGGCACTTTTGGAACCGCATCTGGGACGCTACCTGTGAATGTCATGCGCACACTTGAAGAGCAAACGCCGGCCCTCATGGTAATATCAGTTAGCAGGAACTCGTACTACATTTTCTCTACATCGGGAGTAGAAACGAATGGTTTTCTCTCGAAATCCTCATTTCGGTTTATAAAACACCAATTCCAGTCAGGGGGAGGCGCTGACACTTGTTACTATAACTAACGCAATAGATGCGGGCTCTATCCTCAGTGAATGTGCAAAGAAGCTATTCTCTGTTCAATGTGGTTGAAATCTTGGTTTAGCATCTTCTCTGTTTGGTTATGAAGGTGTTTAGCAGGGTAGATTACAATCAGCTTGACCTTTCCAGACTCTGAGGAAGGCGAAATACACCGAAACGTCAGTTTTTTCTTCAATAAAGAATAAAATAACACCTCGCGTTTGCTCAACAAGAATACATAGAATTATTTGATCAATGCCGAGGTTAATAGAAAATCGGTCGTGGGATCTGTCCTCAGTAGCAATCTTCTACAGTCGGTCTTTTCCCTCTGAACGAAGGAGTACTGAATCGCAGAAGATTACAAGAAATGCTTTATTAGAATGACTAAACCGCTAGAAGATTAATAAGGATTAAACAATCCGGTGATAAAGAAGATTAAATAATCACAGCTGGTCAATGTGCGGCCAAGAAAGTGAGGCACATTTTAGTAGAGCACACGCACTATTCCCTCACACTCATCGTAAATAATTTTATAAAGTGAGGCAAAAACGTCCCTCAAAGAAAGTAATGAAAACTGGATCATAACAACAAAAAACACCGCATACACAGTTATTTCTATACCATTATGATAGCCCTTCTTATTATTAGTGAGGTTAAGGAACCTCTATAACATAATACGTGAACGGTAAAGGAATAAAGGATAAAGCTTTCGGCTTTGTACAATCCTTGAGACATGCGGCATGCATTCCACTTGATCGAGTATCGTTAGAGTTGAATGAATGTATATCTGGCCTCTTCAATGACTGCTAAGAGTCCACCGAAGTATCAAATCAGTGCTGCTCTCCTCCCAAACAAATCTGGCAGCAATATGCCGACTCCAGAGGAATAGAGAAAGGGCTTGGAGTGCCGGATGAGCGAAATCGAACCAACGATCCGATATGTACTGCAACGGACCTCTAACCACTGCGCTACTTACTACATGCGCTCTCACGGAAATGGTACAACCCAGAAAACAGCCCCTTTGCACTTTGCAACGTATACAATCAATAAATCCAAGAACATATGCTGGAACAACTTTCAAAACACGACCAAAAATGTAGAAGTAGGTTCCTAGCTAATTTCGGTTTTAAAAAAATGAAGAAAAACAAAAACACGAAATTAGTAATGAGCCGACAAAAATGGTGGGAAGATAGATAAGCAAAAATAAGCAATGACGGTGATAGAGTGCAATGAAACGCGATGAAAAACAAGCAGAATCGATAAGCTGAAAAGTGGGCAAAGAATCGATGTGAAAAGTACATGCGACAGCAGTCGCCAATGTGTAGCGTGTTTATATGCGGATGACTGCTGTTGGTTGAACGACGCCACTAATTTTGCGACTTATTGTTGTACCATCATGGCAACACTACAGCCTTACACACATTATTAAGCTGCTTCAACGCACAAGAATAACACTATAGAAACGAAATATACGTGATCAAAGAGGCGAACAGAATTCTTACTGAAAGCCATAAGAATCAATGTGCGAAACTGGTTGCTGTGGCGTCTAGAGAGCCAACGTTGGACCTTGTGTGTAGGAACGCTGTTACCGTACGACGAGTTGGGCGCGATCGTGTCGGAATAGTGAAGGGAGAGGGGGAGCGGAAGAAAACAACGACAAAGAAACAACTTGACAACCACTCTCTCCCAAATGTAGGGTACCTCGAAAAGTTCGTAAAGAGTCCTGTACAGAGACCCTTATTTGCTCGGCACCAATCGGTATCTTTGCTGACACGAATACAACGCAATGAAAGCAGAAGAGGCAGTCAAGTTCGCCATTACTAGGACTTCTTTTTTCTCAGTGCCGAGTACGACGTAAGCTCACGCGCAAACAGCTGCGCAGAAATATTAACGGAGTATTCCATTATTACTCTTCCTCATATAATGCAATTTCCGTCAGAGCTCTCAATGTGCCATCTCCTACCATCACTTATGATCTGTCATAGCATTTCATGAGAAGTCGTAAATTCACAACCAAGACCACGTATAATTATAGAAATAAAACCTTTCAAAGATGAAAAAAAAACGAAGAAATGAAATAAATTTAATGAATTTAAAACCGATTAAAATCCTAAATTAAATTAAGTTTGAAGCAAAAACAAAACCAAAAAATAAATTAAAAAATAAAAACTTAGGCTAAATTAAAGATTTTTAAAAATATTTAAGTTGAATAATTAATAAAAAAAAAAGCAGTCATCGTACCTGCTGAGGTTGATCGTGTGATCGCCATGGCATATCATCGATACTCAGATTTGGGAGACTTCGTTCGAGATCCATGTTGCCGACCAGGCGACAACAATAATCCGGATCTACAAGACACATTCTTTGTTTGTGATCTCTAACGATTTCGAACCAGCGTTAGCACTTTGCGTCATTAAGAAAACTACTGACTAGAATGACAAGAGGAAGAACAAAAGACAATGTCAGAATCGCAAAGCACAATAAGAATCGCGATACGCATAATTTGTGTGACGTGAAAAAGAGATCTGTTATGGAATTAGAAGCGACAAAATATTTGACATTAATCGACAGGATGACACAAGAGGAAATATTTTTTTAAAGCAAGAACCACTAAGATTCCAACCTGTGTGTGATATGAACACTACACAGACAGCAAGATAAACGCTTGGCAGTGTTCTGAACAGAATCGAACATTTTAGCCAATCGATAGCCAATTGTCGTGTACCAATCGATAGTCGCACCCTAGGACAACGGTCACGCGGCTGCTTCATCAGAAGGAATCTTGGAAACTGTGAGCTCACAGCTAAGAACATCCAAGCAGAAAGTCTCTACTAAATATGTCGGTCTCTTCTTCAATTTGAACTTAGAAGTTCTGGCCAGTTCATTTTATGTAGCATGACCCGTCATCACACCTATATTTAGGTCCCAGCATTACTCGCTTTGCTTGCATTCATCGCCTATGAAGGTCTCCGAACATTCCGCGTGTTGTTTCGACTGTTGCCTGAGGATTTCGCCTTCTTTACGAATTTAGCTGAATGCTAACCGAGAAGAGATAGCCGAGCTAAAGCGTTCACACGTGGATTGGAGTAGGGCGTTGGGAGGGGGTCGCACCAGTACTTTTCTTCCTGATCCACTGCGTCACTAACCACTGCGTTATTCCTTCTCGTTTTGGCTAATATCGTCTACAATATCAGATACACTCGTGACAATAGTCATGAACGTACTGTCACGGGTAACACCAACATCAGAACTAGTGGAGACCAAGTTATTATGTTCAGCATATGGATGCTGCTAACACCACTAGATTACCGTTCCACAAATGATGATAATGATAAATTCGATAAATATATGCTTGTATGAAATGAATGAAAACATAATGCTAAGTCCGGAAAGGAAAACGGAGACCTGAAAAAGAAAAAGAAGCGCGATCTGGATTTCTCAGTCAAAACGTTGGGAGACATCATGTGGCTTCTTGAAAGACATTGGGATATCCGTGGATTTCTTGCAATCCATTTGAAAAATAATTAAATCCAGTGTTTATAGCAATCTAAAACGACTCATAAACACGTGGATAATCGTACATAATAGAAGAAACAAGCTAGTGAATAGAGAATAGATAATGTTAGGTTTCTTATTTACTGCCCACTACGACTTTCACGGCAGGTTACTATGTGGAACACAGAACAGATAAGTACTTGAATCGATTGCACATTTGTACTTCGCACAGAGTCACTGTACTGGCAATTCAGTAAATCTTCTACAGTATATCATCCTGAAGACACTAAATCCAAAACGTCACTTGAAACGCACACCGAGTTATGGGAAACAACAAACTGGCGCAAATCGATGGGCCAACACACGGCGCGGAGGTGTCGCTATACCCAAAGAATCAATAGATGATCATGTACAGCCAGACTAAACCGACAGAACCACGTCACGGTCACTAACGCTCTTTATTCTTATTGAAATAGGAAGCGATGGTCACTTTAACACTTCTGAAACACTGGAAATCATAGAGAGGACGGACATTTTTTGCGCTGAAACGTGCACATTCTTAAGCCATATAAACTCCATGCGATTCCTTCTCCATTAGTAAATGGGAAAATTATGAAGAAAAAAGTTAAGCATTCTTTCAGTGATAGGGTGAAAGGAGGTTGATAAACAACGTTGTTCAGCTAAGCTGAACAAAGTTTTTATCAAACTCATGTCAGCTTATCGACGAAGAAATACATATTGAGCAGTCATACCAAGGTTGAAGTAAAATCGGACTTTGAAATACAAAGGTAAACATTAAAAGAAACTCTTTCCCACACAATTAAAAAATAAGGTTTAGGGTTCGCACGTCGAGCCTATGAAAGCATTTGGCTGAATACATGGGGTATCAAATTGACCTCTTCCAGGCCCTGAAAAATATGAAACCCGCTGAAACGTTAGTCAATGCGAAATAAATACTTTATTAAGCATTATTTTAACAACCTCATGAAAAACGCGACTTATTGATCGATACTGAGGTTAGTCTAAAAGTAGTCGTGGGAATCATCAACAAACAATAATGCATCATTCTCTCTATCAACAGCATACGTTAAAAGTCATAAAAATAATACGTGATCTGTAAAACAAAAGACGTGGTAGAACGCCGATTGCTACTAACTGAAAACAACTATCACTGCTGCGAAGGTCTAAGATGCCTAAAGAAAATTCGTATTAAGGTAGATTGAAGACAAGCACATAACAAACACATGAATACCTCGCCAACTGACTTTGTTGTTTTGTTTGGTTGCAACTACTTCTTTTTTCTTATGGTAATGCTTAACACCAAAAACGATTTAAATAATCTGTGGGGGCAGAATTACTGCGTGGAAAACAGAAAAGCATGACCCTCGAGTTACTTGTACAAAACAACGTTCGTTATAGTATTTTCCATGGCTTACGGAGTAAGTCACTTTACGAAGTACAGATGACATCGAGTTGAATAATTAGCCGAAACCAATTACAACGCATATTTGAGAATATACAGAAAACTGCAGCGAAGAACAAGAAAAAAACGACGATTGGTTGTAACCATATAATATAACTTTATAGGACAAGGGCTGACACCACAAATCTTCCTCAAATGAGCAATTTCGAGTAAAGCAATCGCAAGGCAATAAAACAAATCTCTGCATGCCGGATACAGGGATGAATGCGGATGTGGAACACCATGTGCTTGCCTTTAAACGTAGGTGAATTTAAAAATTGGATCCTTGTCTCTTAGCCGGGTTAACGTTAGCCTTCGTATACGCTTAAAATACATTACAATTATGTACAGGTGAGTAGTGTACGCAGTGTACGCGTTTGCGTCAATGCAAATCGTGCCTTGCCTCTTGTTTCAGTCAAAAGTTAGCAATCAGGACGACGAAGCATAAAGCGGGGGTTTCGGGGTCACCTCGAACAAATGAATACGTCGTGTCCGCCTTTTCTGAGAGCTCCGTGAGCTATCCGTGAGTGTACTTTTTCCAAAAAAAAAAGCAGAAATATAGTTAACGGTACGGGTTGCGACACCGACGATGTTCGTTCAGCAAGCAAGAAGATCCCACTTGGCAATTCCAGCTAGCAACACGGAAGAAGGGAGATTTGAGTGGCACCCATTTGAATCAGTTCAACGATTAATACGACTGCAAGCGGATTACAGTCAAGAACTTATAGGAACTCAAAGGAAATGCGAAAAATCAAAACAAGAAGCAGAGCCAGTACTGACACACGGTATTGCTTCGTATACATGACATAGGGTGGAAAAAGATAATACATAATGAAAAAAGCAGCTGTTTTATGGTCGTAAAGGTCACACCTGTGCCTAAGTGTCTTAAAACTAACGAAGTTATATTAATCCTCTTACAAAACTATCAGATGAATATTTAAGCAGTGCGGCAGGAAATCTGAATGAATGGCATCGACGGAGAGTAACCGGAACACGGGGAACTACACACGGTTTCAAAACAATTACTGCCCAAATTCAGTTCAGGTTTCAACGTGGTTCCTAACTCGCTGCCCTACTTCTTCTTGTTCGTAAACAAATAGACATATTCATATATATATATACATATATATATATATATGTACACCAATGTATGGTAATTCAGCAAATATCTAACCATGCGCTAAATCGTCTATTGCGCTTTCAGCTACCGTGTCTACGTCAAGGCTCATGACATCAATTGCTCCATTCATTAACATTTCATTGTGAAAGCCCAGTGAATATTAATTTTTTGATCCAAGCATCTCTTGAATATTATCGATTAACAATACTGGATGAAATGATAACATAACCTGCAGGGTAACATTAACCGCAAAATGACTGCAATAAAACGTTGTGAAAATATAAAGATGGCCCAACTTTGTTCTAAAAAGATCGGACTTTCAAAGAAGTGTCTTAAGACCACGTGTCCCTGGAACACGAATGGAAAAAAGGATTTCCACGCAAATCCCATGAGTGGTGGAAGGAACTGAGAGTATTACTGGCAAAACTAAAAATAGTGGCAGCTACGTCATCAAATTATATTGCACTATGTGTACCGATGGCTAGATAATGTAATTTAAAATGCTCCTACTGACGGCAACCGAGATCAATAGTGCACACACAGAAAAAAACCAATTCTATGTGTTTATTAAGCCGATGCCTGTGTGCTCTAGTGTGGATTCGTTGTTCCCCTCACCAAGATGACAACAGTCAAAACTGCTAACTTCTTATGGAGATTTAGGTTACGCAGATGATTCCGTATCCGGGCTACGTTCATTTAGCATACCAGTCAACATGATTGATGCAACGCCATCCTTTTAATGCTGAGAAGTGTAAGTCATTGGAAACAAAAAAAGTGTGTTAGATACAGATATCCTGTTGACAAATAGCCACGAATGAGCTGCTCGAAAAACAAACTCCGGTGAAGAGAAATGGAGAGAAAGGCTGGTAGACGGAATAACAACTAGATCTGCTTCTGATAAAATCGGATCGATCACATAGCAAACAACTGGTATGCCGTTGCTGTTGAAGCTCTGCCGAAGGAGGAGGAGGTGAGGGCTATGCTGGAGAGAGTGGAGCCTGGATAACGTCGATGTTGGGCAGAGCGGCAACAGAGCATAGAGAAGCAGACCATGAGCGACGCGCTCCAGACCTCTGCGTCTCTGTGGACGCGATCAATTTTGCCCCGACTCTTCTGGTTTCATGAGTGAAGAACGAGACGTGATCGCAGGATGGTGGCGCCGTGCAGTGGCGCCGAGGAGGGCGCCCGACGGAAAGGCCGACGAGTTGTCGCCGCGACGCAACACACACGCGCATCGTCGACGACGCCGATGCCGCCAACACTGACGCCGCAGCTGTCGCCGCCGTTGCAGCAGCCGCGGCGGACGAGCAAGAGAGGGACCGTCGCAGCAGCAGCAGCCGCCGTGGTTGTCGTCGTTGTCGTCGCCGCCGTGGCTGCCGCCGCCACCACGCAAAGAAGCATAAACACTACAGACCTCGTCTCTGCCATGGTTTGCTCACTCAGATGACACTAATTTTAGATGTCAACACCAGAGCTTAGTATGCTCGCTAGCAGTGCAAAGTTCATGTTCAGACACAGCACGTTCGGACGAAACGACCTCCAAATGGACGGCGACGACATCGTGCTACATAGATTCGCAACCTACCACGTCACCCAAGTCGAAAAAGCGCTTAGGCATTACATCAACGATGTCGAGCTCTCACCATCTGGCCATCACACGCAAAAAAATAATTACCAGGTAGCATAAAATTTATTCACTGATCGTGATCACTACATCTGAAACGAAGTTATACTGTTTATTACTACCTTTAATTTAGGTGTATTCAACTAGTAAAACCAAAAGAACCATTAACCAAGACTGCATTGATTTAGAAATATTATAGAATTTGTGCAGAAAACGTGAACAACTATCTCTTGAACACTGAAAGAATGACTTCTTTCTCATAGATTATAGAGGAGATCGGCTTTTACTTAGCGTTCAATGAATGAAGAGAAAGTGATGGGTGAAAAATTGATGGTACGTGAATTGCGTGACTGGCTCGAGTTTAGATCGTCTTCGCATCTCTTGCATACGGTGTATCATCAAACCACCACTTGCTGTTGTTCAATTAAACCCTCAATGCTACAGAAGCGAAAATGACGTCATAAATATTTTTTCTATTTTTTAAATAAAAAGACGACAAAATGGCATGAAGTGTGAAAATTTACAAAAACAAGATTCAGTACTAAATAGACTGGGATCCATCAATCTGTGTGTGTGTGTGTATGTGTGTGTATGTGTGTGTATGTGTGTATATGTGTGTATATGTGTGTGTGTTTTGTGTGTGTATATATGTGTGTGTGTGTGTGTGTGTGTGAAAAGACATTGTTTCAAAAGTTCGAACAGTGTTATTTGTTTACACACCATTGCTTGCTTTGTAACAATTGTGCTTTGAACAAATTATTCAAAGTGATGCAGACTTTTTTTTTGTTGGCGAATACGAAAGCGTTGGAGGGGAAAACATGCAGTGCTACGAAACCGTTTCTGCTCTTCCTGATGGCTAAATGCATACATTAAAAATCCAGAGTAAAAAAAAAATCTACGAAGTCCTCGATGAAGAAGAGGACCATCGATTCGGATCATCGGCTCTGATGAAAACGAAGACGTCGAAACTTTAGCCGAGTAAAAATTGTTTATCAACCTTGTCAAAAAAAGATTACGTATTGATTAGTAATACCGAGGTTAAAGGAAAGTCGGTTTTGAAATATCTATGACAGCAGTAAATAAACTGCGTATTGAACAATTTGCAGATGGTTTGACGTTGACGTCATTGCAGTATGTAGGAATGTTACAACTTGAGTTTCTCGGTGATAGTCTGAGGAATTGCCCTTATCAGTCATGGTAAATGCACACAAAATCAAACAGTACTCGATGTTCATCTCTCCATTCCTCTATCTCTCTCCATGTCTCTCTCTTTCTCGCTCTCTCTCTCCCTCGTTGACCTCAACTTTACATGTTGTAAGTAATGTACTGGATCTCTTCAGTGCCACAGAAAAAAGAAGACACAGTTCATAGCGCTCGTAATACGTTTCAGTGCTTACCGGATAGAGGAGGAGTACAGTCAATGATTTTAGTGCGATAAAAAAATGTATTGTACAAGAGAAAAATACTGCGTTTTCTAACAGTTCCCAAGATCGACTTCCTATTAACCTCGGCATTGGGTTATAATATAAAAAATACGTTGTTCTTTTTATTACAGCAATCGCGGGGTTGTTATTCAGCACACGTTTAGTTCCTCACAAATAGTAATTACATATTAGTGTACCCTTCCAGGCTCTAAAGAAGGCGATACTGCCGAAACGTCAACTATCGTTGTGTTGTGTGTGTTATATTGCGTCTTCTATTTTCCAGCGAGCAGTTAAGTAGCCAGAAAATTTTTGGTCAAGAGCAGACAATCTTTTAGTGTAAAATATTCAACGACAGAATATTATTTCGATAGAAGGCTCTTCGTAACACGAATTATTTCCACAGCGGTAAAATGAATGAACGCGACGAGAACGGCCCTCACATTCCCAGATACCGTTGAAACTATATTTGTATAATGAAAAAAGAGAGAACCGGACTCTACTATGAGAATCGAGGAAACGGAGGACGCTACATCTGGTATAAACTGGTTATAAAGCGAAGAAATAATAAAGTAAAAATGCACCTGTTTGAGCACAAGTGATGCATTGCCAACTTGGTGAACCTTGTAGCACGGAACGGCGAAGTAGGTAGTACGCTTTCGAGGACGTTTCCATCACTAAACAAGCTATATCTTCACAACAAATACTTCTTGTCGATAACAGGTTGTGTGGTAGAACAGTAATATAATACTGTATAGCCGATGAAACAGCAACAATGGACAGCAAGTGTTTGAGCGCTACCACGTCGTAATCTGCGCGATGCTCGAATGTTGTGAATGGACAGTTCACTATATGTATATTAAGACGAACATTGACGAAATCACTGCATGAGAAGTAGAAAACATGGGCACTCATAGCAAGGAGCTCTGGCTGAACAGAAGTTGTCTATTTCTAAGCACAATTCAGATTGTATTTCACGTAACAGCTTGATATAGTACCTTGGCACATAATATCTCAACGGGAGAAAGAACTTGGCAGTAAATGAAAAGTTGGACAAACGTTGTTGAGGAACTAATGCTTTGCACAGAATTTACACCAGTTATTCACTGATGGACTGGGCTCGTTCGGATGTTCGTCATCGCTGGTTTCTTCATCACATGCATTTCGAAAATAACAAATCAGAAAAAAGGAAGAGTGACTCGATGCGCTGACGTCGATTACTGGATTCTCCTGACCAGTTCAATAACCAGAAAAGTTTTCTAGGAGCGTTCATAGGCAGATGTTATTAAGTGAACAACATACTCTTTCAATTTCACTTCTTTCGCTCATGTTTCGGTTCCATCGAATCAGTGCGTGTTCGCCTGTTTCTCCGCCTGGATCTGCTCATACGTCTATCTGACTTATTTTCGAGTTAAATCTCTTCTTGACAGGTAAGGGGAACAAATCTTTAATTTAAAAAAGGAGATTTCTAATCATCTTTGTCACCAGAATTGCGCCCACTCGTCGAACCAATTGTAGCGCTGCTTTCGCAATTCGTCCAAAGATGGATGCAGAATGTGTAGGAAATTAGATCCAGACCGTTAATTCAACCCTTGAAATTGATTCAGAAGTAGAAGTACCGCATCAGTCTCCGGTTTGTTCTTGTCATTCGTAGCCGCTTCTAAAACCGTGCGACCACCAAATGAGCACGCGCAATTGGACTGACGACGGGCCACGGCGGCCAATCAATCGATACTCAGTTGCCTACCCCATCACCTTTACTGCGCGATTATCGGCGCGGTTACTGACGTCACTTGGGAAGTACTCCTCCTTCTCATCTGGCGTGACCGTTAGAACCACTTACAGTGCCATACCACATTGGAACGAAATCCATTTTCGCTCATTCAGGCCATGTTACCCTTCTTCACCACGTTTTACGCAGACTTGGAATCTATCAACTAATTCGTTCTCAAGCTCTTATTGGCCACACGCTGTTGGCGTTGTACATGTCTGTTGTGTTTCTTGACTGTCCTCATCCGTGTTGATGATGCATACATAACTCGTTGCACAGTCAGATGAAGTGGAAGCGTGCAAACGAAATGCTCTCTGAGTTGAATAATGATGTAAACTCCTGAGACGCAAGGCTCTAGTTTCGTTTCTTGTCGTACGACTTCTCTGCAGATGAAAAAAGAGCTTGAGAACGAAGCACTCCGTGTCGAATTTTTTTTCTGTTCACTTCTTCCATCCTTTCTTGCGTTATTGATCGCCGTAGTTTTAGTTTTTCCTTTTACTTAAGAATATGTCTGCAAGTTTGCTAACCATCTTTAGTACTTGCTGCAGATGCTACTTTAAAAGTTCTATCACCGGGTTCAGTCTTGCTAGTAATCGACTTGCTTACTTTACATTCATGCTTGGAAATAGAGATAAAAGACTACTGATCTTAATACGACGGGTTATCCATTCACGTCAGAATCTACCTCCTATTTGTTGTATTTGGAGTTACAAGGGTATTGAGTGAAATCTTCTGATGTAGTTGCTGATTAAATTCTGTTTGTTTTCAAGTGCTCCGTTTGGAATCTGATGCAGTTTTACACGGTTTTATCGCATTCATGTCATGTCCAAATGCCTTGCCCACTTTGTGAAAACTGCAGTTTCATCCATTTCGTTCTTTGACCACCACTTCAGTTTTGTTATATCAACTGCCTGACCCGAGAAAGAAGTTATTTCTGGTTTTACCTATTTATTGATTGTTTTCTTTACCTATGCTTTGCGTATATTCTTTTGAATACAGAAGCAGGCCTTCTTCATGTTGTGAGCAATACGATGGAAGATTAGTATCATGTGATCTTTTCTTTTAGAGAGAGAGTTTGTTAAACGTGCTGCTTTCTGCGTTGTAATTAGAAATGGGCGAGCGACGGCGATTCGTAAAGCCGAGCGAGTCGTCGCGATAATCAATAGTCAAGTTATTCCATTGTTTTATGCTGTTTTGCCTTCAGTTCTGTTTTGATAAGGGTAGAACATGTTTTCAAGCCAGATGAAGGTTTATTGTTCATCTGCATGTTCTTCATTTAGTTTAAACTAAAAATACACAGATGACTAATAAATCTGTTAATCATCTGTTGTGTTTTTTACCTTTTACGTGACTTCTCATCACATCTACTGTTTGGATCCCAGTACTGCTTATTCTACTTGCTTTCCTTACACATTCATCGTCCACAATGGTCTCCGAACTTTTCTCATGTTGTCTCGACCACTGCTTGAGGATTTCGTCTTCTTAATGAATGTCGTAGAATGCCAATCGATTGGATTCTTCGCGCAATCTTGGAGATGGCCGGGATAAGACGTTCCGGCGTGGACTGGAGGGGAGCTTTTTGGTGGGGGTCGAACTAGCGCCTGCATTTGCTTCGTGATCGATGCTACAACTAACCACTGTGCTACCCACGCTTTCCCACCACACCCCAGTAATTTGTGTGTGCCTTAGAAACTTAGTGAAAGAGTTGAACTCTTCCATCTAATACAAGTTTTATTGTAGAATTTGCAGCATTTATGCAGTGTTTTCGATCTTTTATTTTTTATGTGGCGTGTATTTCGTCTTACTTTAATTTTCTTCAAACGCATTATTATTTTCAAGCTCGGTACCATTTGCAGTCTTTATTCATCTATCACTCTGCTTTGATGGTTCCCTGTTGCGCATTTGTTTTCTTCCCTTGCTATGAGTCATTTGTTCGAGACTAAGATTCTAGGCATGGAATCGGCAGAAAGGAATAGTCGAGGTCGGTCTGCCGAATTGGATGGTCGGAGGATTAACGCAGTGTCTCCTATGCACCTTGGCGAGTCCAAAATGCTCCACAGTTTATGGAAAGAGCACCAACAACAGCAACAGGAGCAACAACTTCAGCAAGCTTCGTCTACACCTGGTTCAACAGAAAACCGCTGCCACCTGAAGGGTTGGATATCACCTTAAATTCGTAAACAGTAGCTGTTCTTGCTTACTACTTGTTTTATAAGAAACAAACCATTGAGCTACTTTTAGCAAAGAGGATAATTAATGATGAATTGAGGTTTTCTATAAAGCCATATGCCTTTAACACCAGACGTGTTTAATATGCTTCTACATGCTTAATTACTGCACAACTCCAAAAGTCAAGAATCCTTGTGTGGTATAGAGTTATGCAAGGTTTTCTAGAACGTTAATATGATCACTGATCTCTTTGTGACTCTCCTATGATCTTCATGTTTAGCCTTCCTTACACGCTGTTTGCTGATACTTTCTTGCACTAGCTGAAGATATGGGCAATTATCGTCCACTAGTGTTTTCGGATTTTTTGGGGGTGCGACGGCCACTTGAAGACTTCGTCTCGCTCATAAATGTTGTTGAATGAGAGTCGAGATGATTCTACCTTGGTTTAAGCTTTAGCTCGCTAGAGCGGTTCCATGCCTTCGACACAAGCATTCAGTCACAAACATTTGTGGAACAGAAGGAGCCTTTCTCGGACAATTCTAGTACCGATTTGACGACTCCATGCGGAATGGGAGGCTTGGTTGGCTTGGAGCCGTGTCACTACGCTTAGCATTCTTGTATTGCTGCCCGGTATTTCTAACCGTACTTCACGCTACCCAGGACCGTATTAGGGCGAGTAAATTGATAGTATTACAGATAAATCTCATAAAAGCGCTGGGGAAATCTGCAAGACGGTTGCTTCAATGAGGAAGAGGTCTTGTGCAAAGAGTTTAATGAACATAACTAATGACGGTGCAGAAGAACTGTATAGGACACGACAAGAAACGTAGCCGTCTAAGGAAGCCAACGACCGATCTGGCATGCGAAAAGTAGTGGTGTAGGAGGATATTAAAATTCTTAAGGGAGTTCCTATCAAGGCTTTTATGTCACGTTAAGTATTTATATTCCCACGTACCCATGATGACACCAAACTCTAAGAATTATTCATGCCCAGTGTGGTTGGAAAACCATAAAAAATCCTTGGACCGAACGAAACTATTGAAAACTTGTGTTGGAATCCGCGCAATTTCTGAGCACCGTTTGTCCATCTGTATTTTTCTGCGTTAATAGTAGCTATCATTTTTTGACATGGGATTCCAGCTTTCTGTTTATTTGGTGAGAAAGATATCTATTTTTAGTTTCTTGACTCATGCCCTCAGAATGAATGTATTTGTGCATACATGTGTAGATTTGTTTACCTGTGAAAGGTTTCGTATCATGACTGACGATTCGGTCAAGACCTTGTAATCAAATGGTGGGGTAGCATATATTCGGAGGTCGCCTCCAACAAACGAGCTTGTCTTTACTTCAGAAGAACCTGAGGTGCCACCTATGGGTGTACCCAGCTTCCGTAAATTAATCTGCAGATAGATGCTCGTTTCGCCGAAAGGCTAGAAATATTGAAGAGCCACACATGAAAAGCTTGGTGGGCTTTGTATTCCTTGTATGGTCCGCAGCCCACGAATGACTGGAAACTGCTGATGCCCGCTCGAATTGACGATTAACCCATGACTTCCCGCTACCATATTTCGTGGTTGGCCCAACTGATTACGAGCAATTCTTTGTCGGCTGCTTACTTCTCGTTTTTTTTTGGCAATAAAAAGTAATTTTCCAAAAAAAAAATAGGGTGCATTAGGGGTTGTGAACACGGCCGAATTATAGAAAAGACTTTGCTGATGAATGATTTGTATGTTGCTATTTATTGTGGGTTATTATGGTCCATTATGAAAATGCAGTGCTGTAAGAATTTCGAAGTGTTTTGCATAAAATAAAATAACATTTAATTGTTGGTCAAATTGCTCGTTGGCGAAGTTTTTCGAGAAATGGTTTTTGTGAATCATTAAGGTACAGATGCTTTTTCTGATATCTTCCCTACTACTTTGATCTGGTGTCCATCAGCTATCAAATGAGCATACATAGTGCGGTAGAAAACTCTGGAACCTCATAAACTCTATATAAACACTGTAGTGTCCGTATAGTCTCTTGATCCAGTTCGTTATGAAGCTGTATTGTCCTCGAGGGGCGTTATGGATTAACGGGGTCATTATTGGTGGTGATCAACGAATTTCATGGATTACACCAGTAGATAATTTATTGCTTCCATACGTTCATATTATTCTGCTTTCAATCTATCTACCTTGAATAAGTAAAGTATATGGTCAGCGTAGAGTAATAGTGAAACGAAGGGTTCATTGAGAAGTGGTACTCCAATTAGCTGCTCCTTATGAACGTACCTAATCACACAAGTTATTGATTTGTTCAAATGTTGACAGATATTTACAGTTCCTAAAATTAGTGTTGTACTTTTTGTCGTTTTATAGAGTAGTACTTCTTTGATCCATTATATTTTCATTGTCATTTAATGGTTTAGGTGATGACGGTGAAAGGAAATTACAAATGATGCTAGAAAAATATCAGAATCAAGTGAAACTACAACAACAACGAGCTCCTGTGCCGTCATCACAAGCGAAAACGCAATCGAGAAACAACAACAGTAAATTAGAAAGCCAGTGAGTTTCCTATTGAAGTTACTTGCTTGGTCTGTTCAATTGCAAATGAGTGGTACCAGCCGATCAATATTTTGAATATTAGAACTCTCGCATTTGTTTGAGTTGTTGGTCACTGCTTTGTTGTTCATTTTTTTCCCTATCTTTTCAAATTTGAAAATAATCTCGGTAATAATTGCAGTGGTGCTTCATCCATTTCACTGGCGCCATCAGCAGGCCGTTCACATCCTATGAGCCACTCGCAGCCGTGTCTTATTGCAATATCCGACAAGCCGCCTGATTAGTGAGTTTACTGTAGAACAACATTCCTTTGCGATTACCATCCGTCTTTTCTTATGTTGTTTCATTTTTTTCTCTATTTGTTATAATGCAATAGCAATAAAATAGTAAGGCAAGCACAGACTCCACCATGAGCATACCTTTTTCCTCTTCATTGGTTCTGTTCACCACATAGAATTCGTTTTCTTTCATTTGTTGTCTTCTTCATTATTGCCGCATGTTTCTTACGCCTCTTCTTTGTAGTCTTTTTTTTCATGTCATTGTTACTTTTTCACTTCTTTTTGTGCAACCAAATGTTTTATTGTTATATAGATTGATGCGTAATGTTAATATAGTAGCGATAGTATTCAGTTCGGCTAGTCACGTCCATCAATCCGTAAGCCAGTTTCCGAGTCGAATGGCCTCAGGATTCGGATCGTGTGAGCAGCAGGAAAGCCAGTCAAGTAGCAACGGGATTCAGAGAGTGTGTAAATTTTAGAACGTTTACATAGGTGTATGAGTAATCAAAATTTAAGTGGTACTTTTTTCACTTCGATTCTGTTGCATGAAATCCGTAAAGAATTTTATACATGAAAAATCACTGGGACTCAGTTTTTTAATGTGAATGTAACAAATACAATATGTAACAAGCAGTCTATTTGTTTGTTTAGACAAGTGTGTGATCATTAGCTGGATTCTCTTACCAAGTTTCTTATTTTCTTATCAAGTTTATGCAAAATCAGGATTTTTAGGTACCGAATAATCAGAAACTGATCCAGTCACTGCGTGAAGAAAATCTTCACTTGAAACGAGAAATCGAAGCGAGCAAAAAGAAACTCGTTAAATTACAACAGGTGATTATAATTGCCTGTGCTGAATATAATCTTTTCTCTATATTTCTTCTTCAGATGGAGGCCGCTTATGAGCGAATAGAAAAAGATTACGAAAATCTTTTGAGAGAGAAGGAACGGCAGGAGGGCGTTGAAAAGACAGCCTTAGTTCAGATGGAAATGCATTTGAAAAGGTTTATCCTTTTAATTCCACTTGATTCAAGCTAATTGTTTTGCTATGCTCTCGTCAAAAGAGGGGTTAGGCAAGGCGATACCATCTAGCCAAAATTATTTGCCGGCGACACCATGTAGCCAGAATTATGTACCGTCACTCTCTAGAACGTTATGCGAACATTGGATTGGGACCAAATGGGAATGGAAACCGATGGTCGGCAATTACACCATCTTAGCTTTGCTAATGACATCGTTGTTATAACGCTAAACATTAGTCAGAAGAAACGAGTCCTTGCCGACTTTGATGACACTTGTGGAAGTATTGATCTTTTGCGAAACCTCGCAAAAATGATGTTCATGAGGATCGGATTTGTTTCTTATGCGCCATTCACGCTCAACGGAACGAATATCTCCAAATGCTTCAGTTACGTCTATGTTGAGCGGGAAATAAACATGATAAACGACTTAGCTGCGAAGTTGAGCAGGAGAAAAGGAGCGGCTTGGGGAGGAGTTTTTAAGAACATCGAGGATATAGTGAAGAGAACAAAGAACGCCCGACTCGATGACCACAGTTTCTACTCTGTGACTCTTCCTGCCCTTACCTATGCGTCGCAAACCTGGTTGGTATCTGAGCACGAATGACCACTCAGCATTTTAGAACGAGCAATCAAAAGGACGATGCTGGGAATATCCTGTTTCATATAAGGGGGAGAAGAATTCGAAGCTCCGACCTACATCAACGATCTGAAATCAAAGACACCATTGTATATGCCAAACTGTCGAAGATAATGTGGTCTGCACACATAATGCGTATGAACGACAATAAGTGGACAAGAGCCCTTAGTGGCTAGATTCCTCGTAATGTCAAACGTACTGCACTAGAAGACCACCGGTCCGATGGTCGGAGTTCACAAAAACCCTAGGCGAAAAGTATGATGTTCGAAGAGTCCCAAGAGTGAGCAGGGTGCACTGGGCTATTCTTGTACAGGACATGAAGAGATGGAAGATTGGCTGGCACCGCTAGAGTCACTCAGAGATCAAAGACACGACAAGTGGTACAGGTGATACAGAGTGAACTGATAAAATGCTTGGAATATTGCAGTGAAGCGGAATTATGAGCAGTAGGGAAAAATAGGAAGTATTAAAGACGCGTTATTGTATTATTTCGAAATAATGTGTTTTGTTAGCATTTCCGTGAAAATGAGTGCAAACGGCAGAAGTAAAGAAATTTTATATGGAACTCAGTCGCTTGGATCTGTTATATTCATTAGTAATTATATTCGGTACTAATTCATCTCCATTCTTATGGCGTTAGTTAAATGCGAAAACTTCGTATTTTATACATATCAATCATGCAATGAAAACAGAAGACCTATCTGAATGGTCACAGTGGACAGACCATGTAAATATATCAAAGGCCAAATCAGGGCTATCGGATTCCTCGTTTTCAAAGTGGTTTCTTTCCATGTCGATTGTTAACAGAACTTTTTTTTGATGATTTAGTTGAAGAATGCGAGCACAATATGTGCAATCAACAGAAAATGTGCCAACTACGGTATTGGTTTATACTTCGTACCCTAGAAACGTTCTCCGTGCAATATATATATATATATATATAATCAAGAATTTTTTATCAGCCACTTGGTAATTTTAGGGTGATTTCCGAGAAAGAAGCTCTCCAAGACCGACTAGAACAATTTTCACTACCAAATGCTCAGGCGATGGAGAAGGTTAATCAGTTAAATATGGTGCTAGCTGAAATAATACCTCAAAGTAGGTCATTCTGTATTTTTCTGAAGGAAAAGTAGTTCGTTCTGTTTTTCATCAGCACATCTTGTTATATAAGGTGCATTTATTTCACAGACAAAGAGTTAGTGACCGTGAAGGAACGTCAGCGGCTCGAACTCGAAGCTCAAAATGCTACACTGGAGGAGCAGCGGACTCATATTTCGATGCTTGAGAAGGCTTTAAGCAATGCCCAAGAGCGTTTGGCAAAACGCGAAAAAGTAGCTAAATTTGTTCTGGAGCAGGAAGTTTATTCATATCATCAATAACATTGTATACTTTAAGGTTTGTGACGAACTCACTATAGCTGCTGAAAGGGCTAATCATTTACAACGTCTTCTTCATGAAACACTGTTGGACAAACAAGCTCGCGACGAAACGCATGCCCAGGAACGGGTTCAGTGGGAAATGGACATGACTCAACTGAAGATGCAGCTTAATAAAGTAATTTTTCAATCATTCTTGGAAGAAGTTATATATTTCGAAAATGTGTTTCTTGTTCTATGCTTGCGTAATACGAGTGAAACATAAAAATGGAGTTGAGCTAGGGTACGTAGACGTATGGTGCTGTTCGTATGCTGTTAACTGACTTTATTTAAGGAAATTATTGTTTCGACATAACTTTGCGGATGAGTGCGATATGTTGTAGGATTTTTCGCAAAACGGAAGTCTCAAAAGGCTGAGTCGGCTAGCAGGTGACTCAGGCGATGAGACCATAAACCGACTGAAGAAAACCATGTATTTAAAGGACGAACGTATCACACATCTGGAGAGAACTGTCATCGAATTGCAACGGTAGTTTAGCCAAAGTATTAAGCTATTCACTTGGACCTAATTACGTTTTATAATTTCGATAATTACTTCCAACCAGTAATTACGTAGTAATTACATGCATAAAGATATCAACGATAGCTTGTGCTATACTAAACATACTAGAAAACACACATACTGTTACACTGATGGTTCGTTTTGAGCATTCTGGGAATCACTACCGAAGCGCAGGGAGAAGTGCTTCAGATTTTTGTTATTTTCTGTAATGTTTTTTTTTTGCAAAAACCTTGTTTCGTTAGTGATAATGTGGGAGAACAATGAAGAACTAGTGGGTCTTGCCAAATGTTATAGGCGATTGCAAGAGGAATCCGACCGAAAGAAATGTGTACTTGGTGCTCTCAACGAGAATTTCGACTCGAAAATTAAACAATATGAAGATGAGCAAGCGTCTAAGGTAGCAGTTTGTTTAAGTGATCGGGATGATTTAAGTGATATTTGTTTTAAAACTGGTGTTACTACACCGTAAATCTAATAATCCAATGATTAAAGGTAATCTGTTTCAGTACATATTCTAGGATCGCCGTATGACGTTAGTAGGTGAGGAGAGGGTAAAGCTCGGAGAAATTCTGGATGCCAGTGCTAAAGAGCGAGATAACGATACTGCAATTGGTATGCATAAGATGGAGGAAATCCGTCAAAAGATCCAAGAACGCAAACGAAAAGGTCGAATATGTGCTACCGGAGGGTAGGTATTCATGCTGTTTGATATAATCTCAACATTATTTTCTCAATGAGAAAAAAATTTTTATGCCATATGTTGACTGACCATCGATACTTGTCGATCAACGTGATATCGTGGATCTTATGTGACTTTGAGCAAAAATGATTTAGATGACGTCTGCTTGCTTCTAAAAAAGTGAAATTCATTCCGTCTAAACAGTTCTATATTTTATCAGAAGCTAATCAGAAGGTGAATTCCAAAGAATGCGATGGATGAACTGGAGCATTCCAGACAGCACATAGAAGTTCCGTTCTGAATGGTCAGAGATACTAGCAGTCAGTCGTTATCATGGTGGAGCAAAACACCTGTCCTGTTTACTAGTTCCCTGCCGTTTTTAACTGATTGCTCACTTCTGCTTAATTAGTAGTGAGGAATGTTTTTTCGAATTAAGTTTGTTTCTGTTCTAGCAGCTCATAATGTACGGCTATCTTCCAGTCTCGCTAGATACGCAGCATAACCTTTACTTGTGTAAACTGGCACTTGCTTTGGTTAAGGGTGCTTTATCGTATTTATGAGAAGATTTCTTTGCTTTAATGTATTTAATATGCACTTGTCATTCCTGATTATTATCCACCTCATAAATTGATGCATCTTGCTGCATTTGAGAGCAATGACAAGCTGGATTTAGATTTAACTTTTTTTTTTGGAAAACTTCTGCGTCACCTATACAATTAGCTGTTGGCCATCTTACGTTGTTCTATCCACCGTGAACCGATTGCGTAGTAAACGTCGAGTATTTCTGCGGTCGTTCGATTTGTTCGCTTTCTGTTGCTCTTTACCAAACCAAGGACTTCTTCGCTGCCGATTGTCGGAGTTGAAAGGCTATCCAGAACATGGTGCATCACCGAGAGAGCAAGTTGTTTTTTTTTGCAAAAGCGCATTAACCACATACTAAAAGAGGATTCGTCAGTTGTGTTCTCTTTGTGTACAACACCCATCTTCCTTTCAGTTGCAATACGTATTTTCCTAGCCACTAGAGAAGAAACATGACATTTCGAAAATGTTCATTGTTGTCATAGTTCGTGGTATGCATGAAATGCAACTAACCACATCGTTTTCTTTTTAATGTTCCCGTTGAAATGACACCATTCAATTGTCTCGTAAAAGTGGCACCTTTCAAATGTCTTAGAGATATCGTACGCTTAAAGTTGATAGAATATGGAATTTGTGATACAACACCGTCAAGGTTTTGAAACGGGGGAAACTGTTAAATTAACTCGATGTAATATCTTCTTTCCATTGACATCATCATCAGGTTATAATTTTTTGGGCTTCTTTTTTCTTCTATATATACATTTAGAGTGTGCCTCGTGTACTATCATGGTTTTAAATGTTCTTGTTAAGCCTAATTGGAATGGGCGTAGACCACTCTCGATCGTCGTCTGGATCTCTGCTACCTCCTGGATCACACATAAGGTGTCTATATTAGTTTAAAATTGTTAACATATCAGTTATTTAACATAAAACGCTCGTCCTGCTGCGACACGGTATTTTTTTCGGGTTTTCATAGCAAAGTGTAAATCTCAAACCTGAATAATTGGATACTTTTGCATCCTTATATATAAAATGCAACCACAACAAGATAGCGAAGAAAACAATTTGTACGGTGTCTAAATATTGAAAAGCAACGGTAATACATTCATGAAACAAGGCTATGAACACCTACTATTGAGATTAACCAGCAGAAGTATCACTGATTTCACTTGGGGATGACGACTTTTACAAATCGCCTTAGTGTAGATGTTGCTGCAATGGGCTTAATTCGTTCCTAGCAAGTGTTTTTATAGCTGCGTAGGGTTGACGTGCAGAGACATTACACGACGTTTTCCAACTAGCTACGAAGGAGGATTATCATAAAGCTGTTATTAAGTATACTTTAAGCTAATTAAAAAATGCTTTGATAGTACAATAGATGCGGATGTTTGGGAAGCAACAAAGGACTAACATAAGAAATGTAAGACTGTGTCAAGAGGCAAAGAGTGTTCTGTATTAGATAAAGATACTGAGCAGTTATTTCACATGTGTTGCAGTCAACATAAATATTTGAGAGCAGTCCTGATCTATATTCAGGACATCTTCTGGTCCATTCGAACAAAATATATTGGATTCTGCTGCACTATTGTCAGATATCCCTACACCATACGGAAATCGTCCAGCAGTTTCGTCCGGATACCATAACCTATTCAATGCCGAAAAACGGGAAAACTCTGAAGTAGATAGTGTATGGAATGTTTGAAATCCTGTGTAGATTATTAGTCGATTCTTTGTCGAAATTGAATATTTATTTCCTCTTAGATTATTTTTATTTTACTAGTAACTCTTATGGGTCGTCCATTTGGGACTTGTTGCCATAATATGCTTGAAATAATTAGATATCACCTGACCATGAAGCGCTTCTTATTGAGTAGGTGTTTACAATTATTTATTATGTAGCAGGCTAGGAAACATAGCCAGTAGTGAGATTGATGATTACTAGAACCGACAGCGTCATTCAGCCGTCTTACATGGCTCAAGCTATACTTCTCAGTGTCTAAGAATTATAGCGTTAACTAAATCGGTTTGAATTGGTATCTTACTATCGTCTCGTAGTGATTATTATTCATTGTTGTTACTCAATCGTAGGACGTATCGATCTTAAGATTTCTGAAATCTACTTATTTGTTTTGACAAACCCTTAAGTTTCCAGTTCTTTAATTTCTACTTACTTTAGAGCTCAAAATATGCTGATCATTTCATACGTTCTAATTTGCAAAAATTCCACTCTCAAGTGAAGAGGCGTTGTCAGTTCACGATAACGGTTATTTAGTAGTTGCCTTATTTTGAAATTTTTCATAGCAAATTTACGTTTTCTCAGTGAAGTGTAGAATGCTTGTATTTTCTGTGGAACTAACGTTGCATTTTTTTCTCACAGATTTTTATATCACATTTGTATAAGTTTGTACCAAATTGAGAAACGCATATGAAGTCAATAAAGGTCTGAGATCTAACATTCTTACAGCGTATGCTGTTTTTACGATTGAATAAGTAGTGAGAAGTATGACAGACAGTACATGTATGATTTACACAGAACTGCACTGAGGCTTGTAAAACATGGATCGTCGTGGGTCGCAGTGCACAGCTATGACGTGGAGCTTACATTAGAATCAGATATCATTCTGAAACTATATACAGTGGAACGACCATAAGTATCGGCCATAAAGAAATAATTGAAATTAGAATTGTTGACTCTAACGATGCCCTTTTAAAGGGTTAGACATGCTGAGCGTTGTGTGAAGCAATTAACACCGTGTTTAAACGATAAACCTAGAGAACTATGTAATCTAAACCTCCAATCATAAAATGTGAAAGCAGGAATCCCGACATTTGTGATTAATGAATGCCACCGAAATTGCATCGATCCTACATTATTTGGAGAATTCTTAATATACTGGCCGCCATGAAAAGCCTATAAGTATCGGTCGAATTTTGAGAACAGACAGTCAACACATATGCTTAGCACAGTCTTACCAACTCTAAACTAAAAAAAGAATTGATATCACTACTCAAAAATATACAGTCGGTGCTCCATCATGTGTGGTCACTGTGACCGGCACGAGATGAGCTCCTGCGGTTCGTTTCGGCGCTGGTGATTTTGTGGCTTCGAAATTCTTCTCCTTATCGACATTTACGACGTAATGGCTACTGGAACACTTGTAAACTAACTCTATAAGAAATGCTTGGCTAGTAAAACCTTTTAAGTTAAACAGGCATGGATTAGAGTTTAACGGAGATAAGCACCACAACGAGCCCGACGACTAACAGGTGAAGAGTATTGGCTAGCAGTCTCTACCTTGTACTACCGGGTACTGTGCCGGTGATGGTGACGCCGGTAGCGGTGTTCATCCAGCAAATGTTAGTTCGTTTTTGGTTCATCCATCTGTAATTGAGGGAACTGATACGGTGGAAGCATTAAAAAGGTTGCCACTACGATTTTATTCTGCATATCGTTTGTGGTATTCATGCCTGTGATAGAAGATAAAACAAGTTTTCGTCTCTATTTTGAAGCGAGGTGAAGTGTGCACATTGGAAAGTGCGTGTCAATATTGTAGCAAGATCACCGAGCATTAACACTCAAGTACACGAAACAAAAACTTCAGAGGCATTGACTGTGCAGTCGTCAAAAAGTTATCCTTTTTTCACGTATACGACATACATCGCGGCGACAACACCTATAGGTGATGATGAGCTAGGCTAAGCATATGCCACATGCAGTGAATTCACCAAAGACTCACACATAGTGCATCTTCCGAAACACGAACACTAGCAATAAAGAGACGACAAAAGCAATGATTATGAAAACCATCACTGTGAGTATCGATGATTGTGAAACAGTAGACGATGGATTCCTGACTGTGATCTGAAAAAAATCATTCCTCACAAAGATTGGTATTACTATTTTTAAAAGCAGTTATTATTAGAGCCAAGGCAATCACTACACCTCCCCCTCACTACTCTATCACCTCGTCGAGGCTTGATGGCGTTCATGGTTGTCGAACTCTGGTGTACACCGGACAGTCATCACCTCAGTAAGGTTTCAGGGAGATAGTGAAGGATTTTTCTATTCGGCTTTGGACTATATCAGTATTAGAGGAGCCGCCAACGATGACGTTTAGATATTTGCAAAACGTGGACGCTATCCCAAGTTCGAATGAACGACAACTTTTTGCAGAGGCTCACGTGTTACCCACTGCACCATTGAAGCTCTTGATTTGCCTTCTCTCACCCAGTTTTCAAAATTCGCAGCCACTTTGAAAATGCCTGCAGATCTATGCTACGAAGAGACCATTCTCTATTTCGTAGAGAATGCTCCGTCTTTCCATAAGCTATAACATATTTCCTATCTAATTTTCACATTGCTAATTAAAATCGAAGTCTTAACAGCATCCATGGAATGCGTCATCACTGGTGACTCACTCTTCTTTCGCCGCAGAAGGCTAAAAAGTATTTGCAAGGCTTCTGTTTAAAAGTGCTTCTAATGGCATTGTATATTAACACTTGCGCTCCTCAAAAAATACGCGCTAGGAATGCCTACGCCTACTGCAGCAACATCTGCTTCCACTCGGTATTCTGAAGTTGCCACTAACTAGTGATATCAGTCATTCGTGGTCTTTCCCTCTTATCTCTCTATAGTAGGCAATCATGGTCTTGCATCATAGATCCATTAAAGATACATCTCAACCCTCAAACACTTGTTGTAAATTGTTATCCTCGTTACCATGTTACTGCTATACTAATAATGTATAGGAGCTAGTTCGAGCTAGCTGAAAGAAAGGCAAAGCAAGGACGTTAGTGAGGCAGTGTGCAACATGAGAGCTTCTGAAAACGGTAGCCGTGGTTCGATCTTTCCTGGACTCCAAGTTTTGCTCTTATCTTAACATCATTGTAGTTGCATTTAACACAGTACCCTTCCGTGGAAAACCACAGTAGGGAGTAAATAAAAGGTTAGTAACCTATAGAAGCTCAATTATCCAATTTTTAAATTTTGGTGGAATACATCACATACATAGCTACGCATCTTTTTATATGCGAGATTGTTCGTAAAGACAGACACTTCACATAAGACATCTAGTAGGTTCAATAAGTGTTTATAGCTGGAGACGAATTATGACTCTTTCCAAAATTCACCAATTTGCGGCGATGCTGAACTAAACTAGTTATTTCTATCCGAGTGCTGCAGGATGGACTGACCGAGGAAGAATAAATGATTATTAACAAATAATCAGTAACAACAACTGTCCTTTATGAAACAGTAGTGCTGAATGAGAATATTTTATACAAGCTGTGTTCCATTAAAGAAGGTTCAACTCAATGTGAAAACGACGACTCCTCATCGAGAAGACGAACGACTGTGGACCATCGACTCGGATCATCGGCTCTGAGGAAGACGAAGTTGTCGAAACTTTAGCCGAATAGAAATTGTTTGTAAGCCTCGTGTTAACTCATCAGCGAAAGAATACGTTTTGATTAGCCATCCCGATATTATAGGAAAATATTGTTATGCTCTGTGAGCTAACAACGATACTGACTGCTGTATGATGTACTGTCCGAAAAAAAATAAACAATTACCAACAGACAGTCAGTATCGACAATCGTGCTTTATAAAATACTGCTGTTGGTTGAGAGCACTTCATTCGAGCTCTACTCCATTGAGAGGAAAACTCGACACGATACTACTACAAAGACACTACGACGCAAGTGCGAACGACACTGGGCAATTGACTTGGATCATCGGCTCAGTAGAGGCTGAAGATATCAAAGCATTAGTCGAATGAACTTTTTTGAAACCTTGCATTAGGATACCATTGAAAAGTACATATTAAACTATTTATTGTAGTTAGATGTCTTGTCAGATCAGTTCAAAAAGACCGCAGAAATATAGGTATTCAAAGTTCTGAAGCCTCTTAACTACAGCTGCATAAATGGGTAAAGTTTAGTTTATGTTGTTACATGTATGTGACAGGCATCATGAAAACCCTTACTTTAGCTACACTTGTAGCGCCATCATCACGAGTTGCCAAAACCACCAACTCACAAATGCCACACGGTGGACGAGAATTTTGCTGAAGGCGAACAACTCCATCTCGGTCCACAAGAAAGTATCTGAATTTCTTGTGTCAGTGGTCTTGTTTAGATTAGTGGTTTGCTTGGTTTTTGAGCTATAAATCCATTGCGTAACTCCTATTTCTCTATTATCAAAAGTCAAATTACTGTTAAATATGTAGGAGCAATATAATTTTAATTTCGTCGTAGTTTGTTAGAAAACTAAGTTTTAAGTAGCTAAAAGGTCTTTGCTCTCAATATTCAGAATCTAACACGGCTCAGGGATGTGTGTAGCGCAATGGTTAGAGGCGTCCTGCAATACACACTGGATCTATCGAGCGTCCCATAGTCACCAAAGGTTTGTTTCTTCCGGAGTCGGCAAATAAGTAGTGGACTTGTCTGGGAGAATTGCTGCATTAACTCGATTTATTTCTGGGCCACCACGAGTCATCTTTTAGGTCATATATGCATTCCATCATCTCTAACGATTCTTAATAAAGCCGAATATACAGCCCATTCCTCAGGAATTGTTCAACGCTGAGAGCTCTATCCTTTATCCTTAACTCTGTCCAACTTTTCCTACTGTGCATTAAACCCTGTAGTAAGAGGCCCTTATTTAACTTGTCATGAAATGAGCAGTATATCTGGCTTTGGACTCCTCCAACTACTTTGTCACTAACTGGTATTCTCAGAAACTCTCTTTCGTACATTTGCTGCCTAGTGCAACGTCGCGCAGTATGCTAATCATAATACCTTCAGGGTTGGGAAGTTGAAAACAGACCCATTTGCTTCTTTTGATCTGCGAACACCTGCTGTATATAATAACTAATATATTACATATATGGCACAATTAGAAGGAAGCAGAGAGCACAGTGGTAGTCGATGTTGGTCATGACGAGCACGGTGACGCTTCGATCCACACTCACCAAACCTCTCATCCGTCCGTGGTCGGTGAAATGGTACCGGGCTTGTGCAGAAAAAATGACTCTCTACAGCCCAATTGGGAACGCTCCGACTCGAGTAGCTTAAAACTCCAGGGAGAATCGGCTCGACCAGCATTGTGCAACGTCCAAGATGAAATAAAAAACCTCAAGCGGCGCCTGAGTCATATGTTAAAGTTGGAAGACCTTAGTGGATGATAAATGTGGGTAAGCGAAACGAATGTGAGAAGTGCTGGTGAAGACTGGTCGTATAAAACAAAATAATTTTAAAAAAGTAGGGCGAAAAAGTACTAGAATATGAGTGTAGGGCAACTAAAATGTGTTGGGTTGAAAGAAAATTTGTAATAACAACAATAATAATCACATGTATCACTTGTAGCCCTCTTCATCGTCGGGTAACTCGAGTGGGTGCTAGTAAATCCTTCATTTCTCCCTGTCGCGTGCAAGGGTAGCACAGTGGGTTTTGCTCGCTCTAGGGACTCGTTGAGCTTCATATATTTCTTCTTGGCATTTCGTGGTGCAGCACATTGACCATTGGGTCTTTGGTCTTCCTGTAATGCGTTTAACAATCCGAGAAATCCAGTCACTAACGGCTCCTGTCGATCGGTTGACATTCATACGCATTACGTGTTTGGCCCACCTTATCTTCGACTGTTTGGCGTACAGAACGGCATCTTTGATTTTTGACAGTTGACGCAGATCGGAGCTTCGGATCCCATCCCTTACTTCTGTGAAACGGGATACTTCACGCAGCGACCAGGTTTCTGCCTTATATCGTACCGCTTCGTAAAAAAGGTGGGCATGGAGTCGGGAGTTCATTGTTTTCTTCGCTGCATCCTCGATACTCTTAAAAGCTCCCCACGCTGCTCCTTTCCTTCTACTCAACACTGGAGCTAAATCGTTCATCACGTTGATTTCCTGACCTAGATAGACATAACTGGAGCATTCGGAGATAATCGTTCCATTGAGCTTGAATGTGGCATACGAAACCAATCCGTTCTTCATGAACATCGTTTTTGTGAGATTTAGTCGAAGACCAATCTTTCCACAGGTTTATCAAAGTCGGCGAGAATACGTTCCGCTTGGCTGTTTGGTGCTATAAGGAAGATGTAATCAGTAAAACGAAGATGATGTAACTGCCGACCATCGATTTTCACTTCTATATTATCTTATTCCAGTGTTCACATGACGTTCTAGAGGGTGGAGGTAAATAATTTTGGCGAGATGGTATCGCATTGCCTAACTCTTCTTTTGACGTAAATGTTAATATCGTTCTAGAATGGCGATACCTTGATTGTGAAATTTTTGTACAGCTCACGAATGATCCTTGCGTGCTGAGTAGGGACTCCTTGACTATCACGGGCTTCCAAAACTGCTTCTATCTCAACTGAATCAAAGGCCTTCTGTAAATCGATGAAAGTGAGACAGAGCGGTCTTTTGTACTATCGCGATATTTCAATGAGTCTTGTTACCGTGTGAATGTGGTCCATCGTACTAAATCGTTTTCGACACCCTGTTTGCTCACACGGCAGTCCTTCGTCCAGTGTTCTGTCAATCCTGTTTAGGATGACTCGAGTGAAAAGTTTGTAGACGACAGACAGTAAGCAGATTGGCCAATAATTGCCAATATCGTGTAGGTCACCCTTCTTGAGCAACAACACGGTTTTGCTGGTCTTCCACTGAGTAGGGGCCTTGCATTCGGACAGCTAACGTATGAAGAGCCGAGCAAGTGTGTTTACGAGAACTGATGGAAGGTTCTTTAGGTGTTCTCGTCTTTTAAATTTAACGGCTTTTTCTCCTATATGCGAGAAATGGAATCTTGCAGGAAGGAGACAGTGGTCTGATCCCATGTAGAATTTTGGGAAAACGGCGACATCGGTTAGGTAAAACCTTTTGTTTACTATGACGTGGTCTATTTCGTTATGGTACTCTCAATTGGGAGATTCCCACGCCCAGCGCTGAGAGTGGGGCTTCTGAAATTGCGAGTTACCATGGATGGTCTCGGTTGTCATGATAAACCCAGACAACCGCTCACTCTGTTCGTTTCATTCTAATTCTTTTGCCACAATGTAACGTTCTTCAGACGTTCTCCTAACCCAGTCTTATCGTTAAAACCTCCACTGATAACCTTAAAGAATGTATGGTCATATCTTTAAAACTCCTCCAAGTCCACATAGGCTTCTTCTTCGTCATAGTTTGATGTCGCCGCGTAAACGACCAAGATTGTCAAAGGTGGTATTGATCTACGCCTCTTTAATCGTAAACGTTTGATTCATGTTGTTTGTCGTTCAAGTGAATCGATTTTCACGGCCAAACTCGTGCTGACGAGAACACCGACCCCGTGGACTCTTCTAGTGTGTCGCATCATCTGAGAAACAGTTCTTCTCTGGTGTCAAAGACGGCTTTGAATGGGTGGCGCCGTCTCGTCTCGGCCAGCCCGATGATGTCGAACCTCATCGTTCTTGCTTGCATGATCAAGTTTTTTGTCGAGGACTCGAATGCTAGTGCGCGTTCATTGTACCTACTGATCGTCACCCTGGTTCTTTGCGGTTTAGGCAGCTTAGAATGGCCCTGAGATTTTAGGAGCCTCTCCGCACTCGTCCTACCCAACGCTTCCGAATCGGGGACTCTTTCGGAGTCAAGGGAATGAGGCCCATTTCTTCTATTGTTTTCTGCTTTTTGATATCCACCTATGCAGCAGAGCTTGCTGGGCTCTGAACTGGTGGCTGGGTGTGCTCACGGGTAGCTTGCCAGTCTCTTCCAGGGTGGACATAGAGCTTATTTGTTGGAAGCGACTCCTAACCGCCTCCCATACATATACTTTTCCGTCACTTGATTGCATGCTATTGGCCGAATTGACTCTTAGAATACATTCCGCCTAAACGAGAGCGCAGCCACAAACGCATGCATGAATATGCCACTTATATACAGAAAGGTTGTGCCAAATCGGCGCATCAGAAGCAGGGAGTCTATCCACTATATCCACCTGCGTCTCAGAGAAGCAAAAGTCGCTTTTCGTCCGCGATTAACCCCCTATCCGCCACCTGGGTACGCACCACGTAGCCTCGCGACTAACCAGCTCGGGATCCCTTATATGAGGGAACAATAATAATAATAACTCGAAAAACCGACTTTCTATAAACCTCGGCATAGATAGTTGATATATTTATTTATGTGATCCTATAAACTGATCTTCTTAAGCTGACGCGAGGTTGGTACAGATCTTCGTTGTCGTTGTCGTTGTTTTTGATGTTATTGATCGATGGCTGACGTTTCGGCGACTTCGCCTTCCTCAGAGCCGTGATGTTACGTGCGGGACTCTCCCGCAGATAAATAATAATGATAATAATAATCACAATAGTAATCGTAATAGTAATAAAATAACAATAGTATTAGTAATGATTATAACAGTAATAGTAATAGTGATAATACAAATAACTAGCGTCGCTTGAATCGTTCGATAAACAAGAAAAGGGGATTGCGCATTTCTACGCCACTTTTTCGCCCATACCGTGATGCTTTCGGGAATTACAGGAGATTATGACAAGCTTTAACAAGGTTAATTTGCTCAGATATGAATCCACGCTAACTTGAAAGCGTTTGAAAATGGTTCTTTAAGCCATGAAGACTCTAATCAATTTGAGGAAATGGCTGAAAAATATCTTTGCTATCATTTTGCCCCATTTTTAAAATCCCATTGCAAGAAATAAGAAATAAATTTCTTACTTGTTCATATTCATAAGCTTATAATCCGGCTTTTTTTGCCCACGAACGTTAATCGTTCCTAACACTGGCAATGAACCAATCTGAAGGTGATACTCTGACTTTTCGAATTCCATGCGAGCACAGTAGTCGGATTCCGTTTCAACAATCACTATCAGTTGTGCTTTTGCAGCCTAAAAATATTTTAATACAAACAAAGCGATTTATCAGCCATCAATGTTGTTCGCTATTAAAATTAAACCGAACAAAATACTTATAAGTAAATGGGAGACCTAGACAGGCTTAAAGTATAAAAGGTAAAGGATAAAGCAATTGGAGTCGATCATTCTTTGAGGGATGCGTCGTGCATTTGAAATCATCAAGTATAGTTAGAAGTAATTAAATGTTTATCTAGCCTACATAATTAATCGTGGTGGCTTACCTATGTATTCAACCAGTTCTACTATCCTCCCAAGCAAGTCTGGTACCAATTTGCCGACCCCGGAGGGCTGGAAGGCTTGGTGAGCCTAGAGCGAGGAGAGCACTAGGGACCGACCGACGGTGGATTGCTGGACATCTCTAACTACTGCGCTACAAGGGATCATATTTTTGAAGTATAGCAATGTAATTTCGTAATTTGCCCTTAGATTAAAAAACCACAGTGGGTTTTGGTTTCATTACTAACACCGTTTTTAATAGGTTACTAAGTAGAATATAAGATAAATGCTAAGGATAAGCTAAGGTAAATTAACCTAACAAACCTCTATCCTATTGGTTGCCAATAATTCATATTGAATTATTCCAGCTTTCGCCTTGAGCAATCCAGAATATGTGAGCTGACCGGTCGTCTCTCCAATAGACACAACAGCATAAGCATTTCCTAAAGAATATCGTACAGCCGAATCCTGAAAAGAAGTCTTGCTTTTTCAAATTTTGTAGCTCCTTATTTTAATAACTAATCAAATTAAACAAAGAGAATCGTTAGAAAAAGCGCACTTTTGTTGAAATATGAGATAATCTAATCGAGCTGTTCTGTTCACTAATTCTGCGATAAAGGGACAAAAAGTGAGAAATTCGCTACTGATCAATCCTCTAGAAATGGCCCATATACTCGACTGCGTTGGTAAATAGCAGAATCCATGTCTTCCTTTATAACCACTAGATAGCGTTGTCGATTTATCCGGTCACTGTTTTTCACCTTCCTAAATGAGTCTAGTACCAGTTCGTTGACCCCGAAAAGATCGCCAAGGTTTGGCTAGACCTGTGCGCGAAGTCAAACCAATAATAATGTGCCTCGCATCGGAACTTCTAGCCATTGTGCGTGGCATTTTGAAAGGGACTTTAAGTCTTTAACTTTTTATGAAAAAATAACTATGGATGAAATCACTTACAAAAAGTAAGAATAACAAGTGCTTAAGATGTTGAAAACTAACCAGACTTGAAAATGCTTTAACGGTCAGCAACACGGTGTGTAGAGGTAGTGACGGTGTTACCTGAATTATATGAGAGGGTTTTACCTTAGAGTCTTTCTAATTTTAACTCCAGTGACGATCTAAAGCTATGATAAAGTCGCAGAGACTCATTAAATCAAGCAAACAGTCAGGTAAATGATAACTTGAGTGGAAATGAAGAATAAGCCGTCAGTTTTGTCTGAATATTTTGACATCATTTTTATTATGTTCATGGCTTTTTATGTAGCAACAAAGAACACACCTTGATAGAATAGGAATCGTATTCGAAGCGTATTGTTTTTTCAAGAATAAGAGAAAAGATTGCAGTAGTGTTCTTTTCCGAACTGCCTTTTTCGCGAGCCTATAATCACAAGATCTGCTCAGAAAGTAAGAATCTTTTCTTCCAAAATAGTCATTCAGCTTCGATTTTGCCCTAAAAGAGGGAAGACTTCGTTGATAAACTGAGCGAGTAAAGTAGCCTTGTGGTAATTATGGTAATAAAAGACGATAGAGAAAAAAACAAGACGACACAGCTTCAGCGGCATCAAACAAGGTCATTCTAAGGTGGAACCCAGCAATACCTTTATTTGAAAGGAAAAAAAACTTCACCTGCCTTGTAATCATCAAAAGTGGAAAATATTGTGAGTTTTAACAGATCCAATTTAGGTTCTAATAAATGAATCCTATAAACCCTACAAAACGTTCATTACTTACATAGATGAAAAATGTCGCTCGTGAAGGTAAAGGCCGAACTTTTACACTCAATTTTCCATCTTTATTAATTGAGAAGTGATTTGAGAACTCTGAAAGTACGATTTCCATAAAAGGAACGTTAGCGTCAAACGTTTAGAAAACAACAAATAATTGTTTGAAAAAGAACAAACCGGCAAAAATGTCGCATGCACCAATTCATCTACAGCGGAACTCTCCTTCTCGGCCTCCCGTCTTCTCTGTTTGCTCAGAAAATGTTGAACTTGTAAAAAATTACCTCCGAAGATTCCATATTCTATGTCGGCATCTAGTTCATCACCGTCACTCGCTTTAATTGCTTCTGGTTCAACGACCACTTCATCATTCTGCAATCACAATCAGTTAAAAAAAACCAACAATTAAAAGTCAATTTAATTGACTGAACTAAAACAATGAGGAACTCCAGTGACCCATTTCGATGCTTTCAGCGGTCGTTCGTGGCTGCTCAAATGTTAAATAAATCTAATTCTGCTCAGTAATATAATTTATTAGCAACTTTGTCAAGTAATTATGGTGAAGACGATCGGCTAAGAAGTACACAGGGCATCGAGCGTGTTATCAAAAGTGTAATCAAAGGCTGTTTTGTAAGTGTTTTTTAGACTCAGAGCAAAATTTCTGACCTTCGTTCGCAACAAAACCTCCCAATTATCTTATATTTTTTTCTCGCTTGCTCTTCTCTTCAATTTCATAACCTCTGCAACTTATAAAACCATGAGTAGCAACAAACAAGATCTTTTCAATAGAATCATCATGTTGGGTGCTTGGATAAACAAAAGCGGCGAGGATAAAATATAGTGGTTTAGGCTAAAAAACTAGATAGCGTTGTTGTAGGTGATGGTGTGTCAAAAGAACAAAAATGATGAAGACTTATACTTAAAAGAGAAAAATTGTCATTGTTCTGGACAGAAAAATATTGAGGTCGTTGATTGACATTGATGTGATCAAGACAGAAGATCAAAGTTTGTTATGACGTTAAGTCGGATTTGGCCGGTATGGCGAATTGCGGTAGTCTGTTGATGGACATGTAAGGGCTTAATCATTAGCACAAATCAGCAGATCGACATTCGCCCAATTTCGGGGTGACACAGAAGATGCGGTCAGCTTGTGAAATAGCAGTAAAATAGAACAAACAGCCCACTATAGAAATCACCTCATAAATACGAGAAAAAAATCTTCACAAAGAAGAAAAATCGAAAAAAATTAGGTACACTCGATGATAAAATTGTAGCAGTCAGTAGAATAACATTGGCGAATGGTTTCGACATATCTCCTCCATCTAGAGTGACTACAAAACGAATCCATACTGTGACTAGCATTCACTGAACTTTCTCACGGGTTTGATCTACATGATGATCCACATTTTACTCCAGAAATAAAGAGAAGGAGAAATAAAGAACACTTGCAAGAAAAAAAATGAGACAGGTTCCTATTAAAGTAGTAATTGTCAGGAATAGTTACTTACTTGGTACTTGAATGACACATCCTTACTGGTTGTGCAGGTCCCAGCACAATCTTCATTCTTCGGACATTTGCTGGCTAAGCCATTGTGGTTCCCTGGAATCCCGAGGTCAGCCTGGCCAAAGTCTGCCCCAGGTCGTCACCACCACAGGCATCCCTTGTGAATCAGAAGGAAATTTGCCACTATGCGACTTTGATACCAAAACAGGTGGATCCTGGTATTGATTTACTCTTATCTAGGCTTCCTGATGGAAACGTCGGACTCCTTTGGGAGACTCTGCCGAGGTGACTAATCTCCCCACTATTCATCGCAGCCCGACAACCAGGAACAGCTTCCAGCCATGATGATGCGGTAAACTGCTGGGAGGAATTTTCAGGAATAGTAAACAATGAAAGCCAAAACTTTTAGGGTTTTCTTTAAGCTTTTAGGGAGTAAACATAAGGTCGTATTTTTAAACCTTAAACCTGCATGTCTTTTTCTTCGTTTGCTTTAGTTTTCGTTTTATTTATCGTCTCCAATGTTTTTTTTTTGAAGAAATAAACGAAGCAATTTTGTTGCTCCTCAGTTTAATGAATCCGTTCTTTTTTCTTCGCTGATTCCAACAGGATAATGTCTTAAAATGTAAGAAATATTAAATTACCACAATACTACGGCTGGTGTAGTACTGGTGTTGAAAAAACGGTGGACGATCATTAACATCTTCCACAGTAACATGAAGCGGTACTGATGACATCATTGACGGTTCACCTTGATCACGCGCTTCCAGAATCACATCAAACGATCGAAGTTTTTCATAGTCGATTCGATTCTGGATCGAAGAAGTTGTCACGATACAAAAAAATAAAGTAAAACTGATTCAACCACCATGGTGCTGAGATATTTTCAATACTCCGGACTAAAACGAGAAAAGCTAATTCAGTCTATATTTTTCATCGAAGAAGTTTCTGAGGTTTAATAAAAAGTTGGTTCGAAAAACGTAGCTTCGCTATGCGTTAGCCAATAAAACCGACTCTTGCACAATGAATTGATGCCAAAAAAGCGGATCATTGTGGATAGCCGCAGCAGATCAGCAATCGTCATGTATAAGGAGGCATCGTCGAGTGAGATTCTTTATTCGATCGGTACTCCAATTCATTGGATTCTACTCGATGCGGCAACGAATACCAACATCGCGAGGATGTCCACTGCGGATCACGGGTTTGGATGAATCCTTCTCTGAAGAAGACAAAGACGCCGAAACGTTAGCCAAATAAATATCTCATAGTTCCCAGGATCGACTTTCTATTAACCTCGGCATTGGAATATGAATGTGTCGCTTTCTTGTTCAGCAGTGGCGAGGATTTTAAACAGCATACATTTACTTCCATAGAAAAACACAATACAATACAATGCTAGCTGACGTTTCGGCAGTATCGCCTTCTTCAGAGCCTGGGAGGGTATACTGATATACAATCTACTAGGCCAAACGCTTCAATGACACTTACAAAAAGACGAACAGCTCTATGGCAATTACATGATCAACAGCTTCTCGAAACACACACCGCTTTTTCGTGACTTCCAATGAGGAAGTTTGGAAGAGCTGATTATAGTCGCATGTGGTTGACGACCGCACCATCCCACATTAAAAATCGATGCGAACATACGGGATCAGGTTGCGTATGACCTCCGGGCACTCGTCCCTGCTATTCATTCTAGGGTTTTTCGCATTTATCCAAAAAACCTCGAGGAGTTTTCGCGCTGGTGTTTTGGACTCCTGTGCAAGGATATTGACTTTTACTTCAAAATCGTCTCCGCTATGCTTTTGTATCCTTTGCGTGCCTAGTGGTGTGCTTCTTCTTAGTTTTCGTTTGCCATCTAGGTGTTCTTTTATACGGATACACAAAGGTCTGCCCGTTTCGCCAATATATTCATCTCCGCAATTATTACAAGAGATCAGGTATATCGTACTACGGGCTACGACTACGACGGGCGTACGATTTTCAATGACTACGAAATAGTAGTCCCACGAGATAAGTTTACAAGGAGAACGACGCGCCCACGCGAAACACTTGGCCAAAAGAAAGTCCCGTTTATGCTGCCTTTTATAAGCGATGAAGTAAGCGTAGCTATAAAACGATGCTTAAGATGGGCAAGTCTAGAGGAATCGGTAACGATAGTTGAAATACCACCGGCTACTCTACGTCGCCAATTAGTTCGCAACCGCCTGTATGACCGTCTGTGNACCGAGAAAAAACTGGCTTCCCTTTTTGGACGTTCAAATAAACCTATCAAGTAGCGGTTACCTGATAAAATGGTACCGAAAGCCAAGTAACGAGAACGTTCTTGTTCATTTCCTTTCTTCCCACCCTTCACACACAAAGAGGACGATTGTGAGAAACATGTTTCGAACNAAAATCGATGCGAACATACGGGATCAGGTTGCGTATGACCTCCGGGCACTCGTCCCTGCTATTCATTCTAGGGTTTTTCGCATTTATCCAAAAAACCTCGAGGAGTTTTCGCGCTGGTGTTTTGGACTCCTGTGCAAGGATATTGACTTTTACTTCAAAATCGTCTCCGCTATGCTTTTGTATCCTTTGCGTGCCTAGTGGTGTGCTTCTTCTTAGTTTTCGTTTGCCATCTAGGTGTTCTTTTATACGGATACACAAAGGTCTGCCCGTTTCGCCAATATATTCATCTCCGCAATTATTACAAGAGATCAGGTATATCGTACTACGGGCTACGACTACGACGGGCGTACGATTTTCAATGACTACGAAATAGTAGTCCCACGAGATAAGTTTACAAGGAGAACGACGCGCCCACGCGAAACACTTGGCCAAAAGAAAGTCCCGTTTATGCTGCCTTTTATAAGCGATGAAGTAAGCGTAGCTATAAAACGATGCTTAAGATGGGCAAGTCTAGAGGAATCGGTAACGATAGTTGAAATACCACCGGCTACTCTACGTCGCCAATTAGTTCGCAACCGCCTGTATGACCGTCTGTGTGAAACAACAAGTTGCGTAATTTGCCCTTACGGCAGGGACGGTGATTGCATGAGTTCAGGTACGATATACCTGATCTCTTGTAGTAATTGCGGAGATGAATATATTGGGGAAACGGGCAGACCTTTGTGTATCCGTATAAAAGAACACCTAGATGGCAAACGAAAACTAAGAAGNGAGGAATCGGTAGCGATAGTTGAAATACCACCGGCTACTCTATGTCGTCAATTAGTTCGCAACCGCCTATATGACCGTCTGTGAGAAACAACAAATTGCGCAATTTGCCCTTACGGCAGGAACGGTGATTGCATGAGTTCAGGTACGATATACCTGATCTCTTGTAACAATTGCGGAGATGAATATATTGGGGAAACGGGCAGACCTTTGTGTATCCGTATAAAAGAACACCTAGATGGCAAACGAAAACTAAGAAGCACCCCACTGGGCACGCAAAGGATACAAAACCATAGCGGAGACGATTTTGAAGTAAAAGTCAATATCCTTGCACAGGAGACCAAAACACCAGCGCGAAAACTCCTTGAGGCTTTTTGGATAAATGCCAAAAACCCTAGAATGAATAGCAGGGACGAATGCCCGGAGGTCATACGCAACCTGATCCCGTATGTTCGCATCGATTTTTAATGTGGGATGGTGCAGTCGTCAACCACATGCGACTATAATCAGCTCTTCCAAACCTCCTCATTGGAAGTCACGAAAAAACGGTGTGTGTTTCGAGAAGCTGTTGATCATGTAATTGCCATAGAGCTGTTCGTCTTTTTGTAAGTGTCATTGAAGCGTTTGGCCTAGTAGATTGTATATCAGTATACCCTTCCAGGCTCTGAAGAAGGCGATACTGCCGAAACGTCAGCTAGCGTTGTATTTTATTGTGTTTTTATGGAAGTAAATGTATGCTGTTTAAAAACCGCGCCACTGCTGAACAAGAAAGCGACACATAAATATTTTATACTAAACTCGAGTTTGCTTAATAATTGGAGAGGGTATTAACTGAGTTTAGTACTGAGAATCCTGAGGAACGACGATGTAATAGCGATTGAGTAACTTTCACATATTGTTAATGCCTTACTCATGTTGACTTTATTAGCTAAGCATCATTAAAGGAAGACTAGTAAGTGAATGAGAGATGCTAGCATCCGATTCATTATCTTCACCTTTACCGCAACCACAGGACGAAACGGATCACTGATTTCGAATAGTTCAGATAATGGGCCCGATCCTATCGAATACAATACGAAGCTATTCGGTCCAGGTTGATCACGATCAGTTGCTTCGAAATCTGTGAAGACGATGGTGCCTAGATAAAAACGTTATCAAATGATCATCTACTCGAGAATATTCGTTTTGCGTCGATAGGTTGAAAACTGAATTTGAACTAGCTTTTTTTAGATGGCTAAATGGGAGAGCTCACTAAAAATCAGATGGTTCCTACCTATGGGCAATTCTTCCTTGATTGTAATATTGTACTCGATTGCGTCAAATACCGGTGGATTGTCATTTACATCTTGCACGGTGATAAACACTGAGATGTTTAGCTAAAATCTGCTCTTACATTGGCCTACTTAAAATTGACGGAATAAAGTAGTTTACATCGCAGTTCTTTAACAACAATGTGGAAGACTTCACATAATCCGTTATTTTTTATACAGAAAGAGGGGAAGGTGAAAAATTAAATGTAAGGGAGGAAAACATAAAAACGCTCTTCGTGGAATTCTCTCTCTGTGTGCTCATGGGAAAATATTGCCGCCTTTACGAAGTAATAATCCTCTTAATAGGATAGGAACTTGAAAGTGTTATTGGATACCACAATTGAAGAACTATCATTAAAAATCTAAATCTCATACCTGGCTAAAATCACTGTCAAGATTTTGCGATAGACATTCGACAACTAGTTCGAATTTTCCCTGGCCCTAAAACAGTTGTCTATCACTTTGGAATACTGCCACTTCATTTCACTTTTATCTTCATATGCTCTATATCTTCAATCTCTACGTTCAATCTAACTCTAAGTTAAGATCTTCAAATGGCTGCTCAAGCAAATCTTTTGTTCTAGGAGAAGTCTCGAACCTCATTGAGCTAATAACCGTAATGCGTTTACCCTCCTAGATTGAGGTGAATAGAACTAATTTACTATGCTATTTAGTTGCTGTAATTTAGGAAATCAGCTTCCTAATACTTAATATTATTTGTGTTGAATCCTCAGACAGCTTGTTTGCAACACATGCGAGTAAACAAAATCCAACAAGTATCTTGTTGCCATCAATTAAATTATCACGAAAAACTTTTTAGCTAAGGATGTTCACAGTTTTTTTCAAAGCAAAGGCAAATGGTTACGAAGGGTTTGCCTCATTTCTTAGTTCTTTGACAGCTTTGAATAAACAAATGGGACAAAAATAAATAATGCTGCGTGAACTTACTTCATCCCTGTCCAGTTTTTTTTCAAGTACTAGCTTTTTTGAATTCGGTAATATCTGAGCGATATCGTCTCCTTTAACCACCCGTAATTCGACATGTGGATTTAAACCGTCTGTACCGCCTTCAATCGGCATATGACCAATAACCTCACCTGAACTAATAAACTTGAATGTGACTACCTCAAAGCATTAAAACTGTTATTACATGACATATGTTTGTATTCGAATGAATAACTGAAGCTATTCGATCATTGACAAATCATCCATCCCGGTTTTTCACCGTTTTTCTATTTTCTAGCCCTTCAGAAGTCCATACATTAGAAGACCTGGACACAAACGTATTTGATATTCAGCTAGTTCTCAACGCTCACTGTCAACCTGGATGTCGCTCAGTTTTTAATTATGACCGTTAGATGCATGGCGTTCTTCCTTTGACGTTTATGACAAATCATTTCGGAAGAACTGGGAGGGGTATCTTCTTAGTCGATCCCGGATGATTGTTAAGTTCAGGATGGCTCACATTGATGAACTAATAAGTGCTTGAGATACGGACGTCTCACCGCGATTATCTTTTGGTCCCTTTTTTCTGCGGTAATTATCTAATTAATCTATTTTCTCGTTTGTTTTATTGTTAGTTCCGATCATAAAAGCAGTACAGAGGCAATGGACGTGAAGAAAAAACTAACATTCACTAATTCACTTTGTAAAATGGATGCCGCTGAGTGGTAATTTGCCTATAAAAAATCATAATAGGTCTGCTTCGATGAGAAGGTGGATGACTTCGATAACAACACACGCTAAAGGATATGATAGCTCTTTAGATTTCAACATCAAAAAATTGAGAGAAGAGGTGACCGTACATTTACCATAAGTGCTTCTTTGCATGTTCAGTAATGGTGGGCTGTTAGTAAAATTAAGTTTCAACCGAAGCTAGGACTTCTATCTAAATATAGACGTGTTATGCGAGGATTGATAACTGGAATTTTACTCAATTTGGAAAATGAAAATTCTATTTATTTGATTGTTTGGCAGTGCATATTGCTTGGTAAAATCCATATATTTCTAAAGAATTGAAATAGGTGGGCGATTAGAAAATGCACAGGATAGCCGAGATTTGTTGGTGTAGACAACTTTGAGGCAAAGTGCTGATTGAGGTGACGATAATCCGTTCGTAGTTGTTCGCTAATCACTTGTTTAGCAGCGTTTGAACACCAATAATTGGCCTAATCAGGTGGCTGAGGTGGTCGGTTGGTCGAGCGGTGGGTGGTCGGCTTCCCCAATGATTGTGTGAGAATGATTGTAGTGAGTGGTGAAGATTCTAATAACTGATTTAGTCATGAGATTAAAAATATGGTGAAGACGTAACCGACAAAAGACAACTAAAAGCCACACAATAAATTGTGGATGCACTGTAAATAGTTTCATGGTGGTGTGCGGTATACCATTACATTTGAAACACATGTCGGGAATTTCTCACGTATTACTCTGCACCCACCGGGTTCCACATCTTCTGGAACTGATAGGTATACGGCACTCCTTCCGTTTTCCAGTAAACAACATAAAGTAATGGAGATAAGAAGACTGAAGAAGAAGCAGAACAACCGTATGATCATAATGGTTCCCAATTCGAATACTCACGAATCGATTGAAGAAAACCTGCAGTTACTAGAAACCAGCATTAAAACCGTCGAAGGGTGAAATCAAATAAGTAAAATCATTACGGAAACTGAAAAAAAAATACAAGAAACGGTATGATTGGCCCTCTGGCTCATCTCCATAAAGTCACAAGAACACTGCAGTTTAGAAACCGCCATGAAAACGTGTAAATAAATTGAAAAACATCGGGAAAGCGCGAAGATAAACTCACAGAAGAAAATAGTTCGGCTTCGTTCTCACCGCCACAGAGTGCACATATAGATGGAAATAACAAATTAATAAGTAAAAAGACAAAGAGCAACGTTCACCTTCATGAGAAGAAATGTGAATAATATTTAGGCCACATTTATGAAATTAAAGTAACGAAGATAAAAGGCTAATTATTCAGCAGGTTATTCAGCAGAATCAAAGCAGGTGAACTCCAGATGAATGGAACAATCCACACCGAAGTCATCAGGGAAAACTATTATACTCGCAACTTTCACTGTAACGAAAGGTGAGTCCGTGGAATTCTGGTAGAAAAGATGTGGTAAGCACTTGTTGGATACCAAGAAAGTCTATTCAACAAAGAGGTCTACTACCAATACGAGATTTGCAATGATCTGTACGCGAGATTCGCTTTGTGCGCGAACTAAGGTGGTTAGCCGAGGCGGGTGATAGCTGACCACTCCTACAAACGACGTCTTGGACCGCCTCTCGCACTCCTCATCGTCCCTCAACTCCACCTACTCTCCTACTAAACAAGCAAACCGGCACTGTGAATCAAGAGCAACGAACGAGTGTTGGCAGACTACGAAATTAAACAATAGCCGTAGCTTAAAGAATATATTTAGCGTATATATATATATATATATATATATTTAGAATCACACATCGAAATAACATCAACGTTCACAAGTGAGTGGGTGTTTACTAGAGAACAGTCGAAATTTAATACCCAGTCACGTGATTCGAGAATATCATATCGTTATTACTAAAAAGAAACTGGTAGAAAGAGAAGCAGCAAGAACAAAGCTTATCGAAGAGATCGTATTTATGATTAGTAATTTTTAGTGGAAAATACTGGAAAATTTTCTGTATTCCGAGAATACTTTTGGCGACCACTGTGACTTTTTCAAAGCAGACAGTGCGTGATGAGAGCACTTGAATGGGGACAAATCGCTGCAAAGCAACCGAAAATACACAGTGCAGTCGAAAAATCTGAACCATGTGAAAAGATTGGTGACATAGATATGATCAGTAATGATTAACGGAAAGCAGGCAAGAAAAACTTTGTTCTGCAATTTATTCACTGTATTTATTGGTGATGAGGTTTGACATAGTGCAGGGAGGTGTCACTCCTTGGCATGCATGGGGTAATATGGTTTTCTATCATGCTTTCGTTATTACGTACATAGTAATTATGCAGATGTCCACAAGTCTGCCTTTCCTTGTTGAGCTTTCCTACATTCGTCCCCCATAAGCTAATTAATAATTGGCCTTCATATTTTGGATTCGCTCACATTTTAACTACAACGAAGATACTTCATTGATGATGGCCTTGATTGCAAATACGCTGTTCAGATTTCGATAGCACTTAGTAAAGGGCTAATAATTAAAAAAAAACATTTGAAGGAGTGCACACATTCTGTTGAAGTGATCTGTGATCCATCTTGTGGAATGTGAGATGGTGAATCTACTATCTGTTGTGCACGATATACTGACTGAACTAAACAGACCAGATTACGAGATTTTAGTTCACGAATTGTTCGAAATCGCGCCCTGCAAAGAAGCTCGGATTCTACTCCTCGAGTGTTTGGAAACGTATTTTTGAGTGCCATCACTGAAGAAACAGCAAAAAAAGTAAGCACTATACAAAAAGACGATAGCCTATATGGTACTTTAGAAAGTAGAACAAACTGTGCAATTCTGCAAGCGATAGGGCAAATCAAGATTTGCTGTCCACCTTCATGCCGTCTGATAATTGATGTGAGATGTGATTAGAAACCACACGGATATGGTATGAAGTTAGTATTTTCAGCATGACTTCTGCTTTTCTGCACTTTTTTCTCTTTTCTGGGCTGGCAGCTAGACTGCCGTTTGCTGCAAATCCGATTTAAAGCCAAAACCTCCCCCTTCACAACGGGGAAATTAGAGGAACATTTCAATATAGTGCGTTCAAAACATCAGTCGCTGACCATTAATGTGTTGCTTGTAAATCATCTATTTTCGAGTCAACTCAACTGTTATACCCATAGCGAATACCAGCAATAATATCTCAAAAACTCAATTTCTTTTAACCTCGGCGTGACTAATCATTACGTATTCTTTCATTGATAAACTAGCACGAGTTTGACAAAAAGGTTAAAAGGAAGGCGGGTTTTTGAAGGACTGATTTGATATTTGCTAACTGATAATGACACCGAGCTGCTGGATGGATTGTCCGTTGAAAAACAGATTATCAATGACCAAACAGTGTTACCAACAGCCTTCCTGTATAAAAGAGCATCGTCGCGTGAGATTGCCTCATTGAGAGACGTTCCACCGAAGAAAATTTGACTCAATACGACGACGAAGTCATCACTGCGAGATTACGAACGGCTATGGATCATCGACTGGGACCATCGGCTCTGAAGAGTACGAGGGCTTCGAAACGTTATCCGAATAAGTCTTTTTGTCAACCTCGTATAAGGACCTCGAAAAAAATACTAAAAATAACTGTCATTTTTTATTTATTTTGCACAATCTTACAAATCTACTTGCTGGAACGAAGCGTGGCAATATCTTAAAAACCGACTTTCATTAAACCTCGATAAGAATAATCAATAATTTTCTGCATTATTGACCTGACACGAGATTGGTATAAAAAAACTAACAAAGAAGTCTTATGTTTCCTCTACTGGATTCAATTGAATGTCACCACCAACACTTACTTCGCAACAACGATCACCTCGGTACCATTGACTCGAATCAACGTGGATCTATTGAACGTGAAAGAGCGTAAAGGTTGACTGCATAAATGTTTTTTATACGAGGTTTATGTCAGCTCAAACGTGAGAAAAATTATGGAGCATTTCTACCGGGATTTAATAAAAGTCGGTTTTAAAGATAATTTCACTTCAACTATGCTGACTACAGCATTTCTTACCGATTGATTCATTTCCTCGCACCTATCATCCACGAAGGTCTCCTATACTTTTGTGTCTAGATTCTGTCGTCGCTAGAGGATGTTCCGTTCCCTTAGCCAGAAACGTCGTTGAATGCTGCTGGAATCGATTCTGCCTGTAGTTTTGGGATATCCAGGTTAGAGCTTTCCTACCGGAACTGCAGAGATTGGACACTTCCCAGAGAGGTCCTTTACCAACTTTTCCACTCCGAAAAGGTGAGAATCTTGGTAAACTCGCTGCGATGTTGAATCAGCACCGTGCTCGTTGTGGTCGACTTCAACACCCGTGGGCTATGCGCTGTCCTAAACCATGTTTAGTCACATTCAGAATCGGACTTTTTGCTGAACAATGTTTTTCTAAAAAGAAAAGCGGCAAAGTTTTCGCTCTGATCGATCCATGAGGAATGCACAATTCTCTCAACTCTCTTAAGTAAACTAGAGATGAAGATGATTGGACAGGATATCTAGCCAATACGACTTTATCTAATCCAATAATTTGTAAAGTCAGTGTTTTTGTCGTCACATAGTCTGGTCCCAATTTCTCGACTCTGGAAGGGTAATAGGGCTTAGTTTGCCTACGAAACCAGATTAAAACAAATACCCTGTGTTTTGTGGCCCATCATTTGCCAAACGCGCGATAAATTCCGTTATTTAAAAAACTTTTAAACAGTTCGAAAAGGAAGAACACTAATAAACTAACCAAATCATTGATTTTTCCACCTTTGCATGTTGGCTACAATTGCACTGAGTGATTTGAATGTTAGTCAAATTAACAGAAATCACTGAAATTTGCTTATTCATTGATAAACATGCTGATGACCAGCCATAATAGTTCCTAATATTGTTAAAGAACAATCTACAGCAAACTTAACCTTTTTATTTACTGCCTATTCTTTCTAACGGCGCTCGTTCCCCACCGCAGACACCTGCGGTCTGGAGTTTTGCAAATATCTCAGCATTATAGTAGTTATATTTCGCAAACTACCCTGCCGTTAAAAAGAATAGTCAGTAAATAAAAAGGTTAAGATTGTGATTATAACTATAGCCTCAGCTTAACTGAGTTCAATGCCGATTTGGACTCTCCAGATCAATCCCGTTGACAGGTGATTGCTCTTGGCAAAAGATCGATAGAACTAGCTGAGAGACAGGCGAAACGAAGGACCCGCATGGTGTGGTGGTGAACGCGTAATACTCCCCAGAAAGGACAATAGCGCGTTCGTTTCCCACCGCACACACCTGCGGTCTGGAGTTTTGCAAATATCTCAGCATTATAGTAATCTACAGCAAAGTTTAAAGAATCGACTCTAGTTGAAAACTGGTAATGAAACTACTGCATCTGTAATGTGCCTTTAAAAGAAAATGGTTTAATACCGGCTTATACTTTTCCTTTCCACAAGAAACTGTGAAAAAATCAACTTTCATTACCTTTTTCTTTGGAGTTTTTGTTCTAAGGACCCACAAACCAGTTTTGTCTAAAGTGATTAGATCTGTGTTGTTGCTGCGATAACGTTCGGCCAAACTGAGACCACACAGCCGAATTGGGCTGGTTTACTTTTTGTGACATCATTTCTATTATCGTTCATCCACTGCATCGAAATCTGATGACGTTACTCATTCTTGTTTTATTTTCAATTTTTTCCTCCACACTATCCAATAAATAGGTTGAGGATGGACAGTAGATAAATAGATAACAAATGAATAGAGTGGCAAATAAATAAAAGGCGTGTGTAGAGCAGTGCTCGGAGACTCCCTGCAATATACATGGGGTCGACTACCGCGCCCCAGGCCCACCAACCCCTCCATCCTTCCGGA